AAGGGGGGAGTCTTGTAAACAATGTTCTTCATGTAATTGTAGATTAATGATAACAAAATGAATTAAAAAAAATGAATTGCCTAATATACCAATTAAGGGAAATTGGAAGACTGGATCATAAAACCTGATGAAGCTATGCAGCCTCACTTCAAATATGACAGTATAAGTGGACAAAGTAAAAAGATGGAAAATAATAAATCATAGAGCATTAAAGAAGGTAAGTGTGGCTGTATTAATAACAGATAAAGTAAACCTCAGAGCAAAGAAAATTACCAGGAAGGACATTCTATAATGGTAAAAGGCTCAATATGTCAAGGAGACATAGCATTCCTGAATGTGTGGGCACCAAACTCCACAGCTGCAAAATATATGAAGCAAAAACTGAAAGAAGTAGACAAATAGACTACTGTAGTTTGAGATGCTAACATTCAACAATTAACAGAATACCTTGGCAGGAAATTAACAAGGATATTGAAGAACTCATCAACACCATCAACCAACAAGATCAAATCAACATCTGTAGTACACACAAGAGCAGAATGCACATACTTTTCAAGTGCCCATAAGCATACACCAATATAGTCCATATTCTGAATATGGTACATTCAAGGTAGATTATAAAACAAACCTCAAAAAACTTAAAGTAATTGAAATTTTACAGAGTAAATTTCCTGACCACGATGTGATCAAGCTAGAAGTCAATAACCAAAGATAACAGGAAACTCTTGAAACACTCAGAAACAAAACATCACTTTTCTAAATAATCCATGGGTCAAAAAAGTAAATCTCAGAACAAATCAAAACATACATTGAACTGAATAAAAATGAAAATACAACATTAAAATTTGTGGGACACAGCTTAAGCAATGCTGAGAGGAAATTAACAGCAGTAAATGCTTACCTTAAAAAAAAGGAAATGCCTTAAATCAGAATCCCACCTCAAGAACATAGAAAAAGAAGAGCAAAGTAAACCCAAAGCAAGTAGAAAGAATGAAATAATAGAGGAAAGAACAAATGAATTGAAAATGCAAAAACAGTACAGAAAATCAATTAAATCAAAGGCTTGTTCTTTGAAAAGATCACTAAAAGTGACAAACCTCTAGCAAGACTGATAAACCAAGAAAGAAGAGACAAATTAACAATATTAATTAAACAGATAATATTAGAAATACTGCAGACATCATCATAAGGATAATAAGGGAACATTATGGACAACTCTACACATATAGATTTGACAAGTTAGATAAAAATGGAATAAATCCCCAAAATACACAAACTACCATAAGTCATTCAATACAAGTCATTTGAATAGCCCTGTAACTATTAAGGAATTTTATGTATAATTTTAAAACTCCCAAAAAGATTATCTCAAAGTTTAGATAATTTACTGGTGCATTCTACTAAATGTTTAAAGAAGAGCTAACACCAATTTTACACATTCTTTTCCAGAAAAGTGGAAGAGAAGGAAATTCTCCCTAAACCTTTTTAGCTGGTGTTACTCTGATACCAAGCCCAGACTAAAATAGTACAAAAGAAGAAAACAGCTGATTAATATTCTTAATCAGAATAGTCATAAAAATCCTTAACAAATATTAGCAAACAAAATTCAGCAAGATACAAAAAGAATTATACACCATGACCAAGTGTTGGTTGTTTCAGTGATGCAAAGCTAATTCAATATTCACCATTAATGAAATCTACCATATTGACAACCTAAAGAAGAAAAATCACACAGTCATATCAATCTATGCTGAAAAAACATTTGAGAAGTTAATACCTATCCATGAAAAATTCTCAGAAAAACAGGAATGGTTGGGTAGGGGGGTAAAGAGCACTTACAAATAGCCTGTAGCCGACATGATACTTAATGGTGAAACACTAAATACTTTCTCCCTAAAAATAGAAGTAAGGCAAGGATGTCTGCTCTTAACATTCCTACTTCACATAGTGCTGGAAGTTCCAGCCAGTACAATAAGGCAAGAAAAGGAAATAAAAGGCCTACAGATGAAAAAAGAACAAAATAAATTGTCCTTATTTGTAAATGATTGTCTGGGTAGGGAGTTCTAAGGAATTTACAAACAACAAGAGCAAAAAATCTCTCTTAGAGTTCTCTTAAATAAGTTCAGCAGGGTTACAGGATACAAAATAAACATTAGATAATCAATGATGTTCCTATATACTAACAATGAACACCTGGAAACTAAAATTTTAAAATAAATACTATTTACAATTGCTCAAGAAAAAGAAGATTTCTCAGTTACTGAGATTAAACCTATTATTAATTAAGTTACTTGGACTTAAACCTAACAAAACATGTGTAAGACTTAAATTTTTAAAACTACAAATTGCTGATAAAGTAATTCAAAGAAAATCTAAGTAAATGGAGAGATAACATGTTTATGGATTGGAAAACTAAACATAGTAAAAATGTTAATTCTCCCCAAGTTAATATATAGGTTTAAAGCTATAAAAATCCCAGCAGGATCTTTTGTAGCTATTGATAAGATTATTCTAAAATGTGTATAGAGAGACTATGGAACTAGAATAGCTAAAAAGCCATTTTGAAGAAGAAAAAGTGAGAGGTATCAGACTACCTAATTTCAGTTATAGCAATGGTAAGCAAAATTGTGGTACTGGGAAAGAGAAACACATAAAATGATGGAACATGATTGAGAAGCCAGAAGTGAGACCTACACAGATATGCCCTACACAAATTGGTTTTCCTTTTACAAAATTTTAAAGGCAGTTCAGTGGAGGAAAGATAGCCTTTAAAGGTATCAGAGCAATTATATCCATAGGTAAAAAAATAACCTCAACATAAGCCTCTTATACAGTTTATCTCAAAGGGGATTGTTCTCCTTTCTCTGCCCACCAAGGGTGAAGAATCTAAATGATACCTTTCTGGAAGAGAGAAGGAAGAAAGAGAAGGGAGAGGATGAGGGAGTTAGTTTTTGTTATCACCATTGAATTGATTCTGTCTCTTGAAAAATGCCAGGAAAACAAAGACCATCCTGTCAGGGGTGTGTAGTAGCTCAGCACAGGTAACTTTCTGAGGCTTCACCTGTTTATACAGAAATTGGTGTTGGGTAACCAGGATTTAGACTGTTCTGGATGCTGTGCAGAATTGTCTTCAGAGGCCATCTAGACCAGCCATTCAGACTGGTCTAGTCCCTAGGGCTGTCCAGCAGGGTCTTTGAGACCTTTGGGGATAATTTTACCCAGACAAGTTGTGTTTATGCTCCTGGGTAATATTCCATTTAAATGAATGATGCCATGGCTGGAAGAAAGTTTGAAAGCCATTTCCTAACTGAGTCGACTTGGGCAAATTGCTTTACTCTCTGGATGTCTAGTTTCCTCATCAGTGAAATTGGAATATTAGTGGTGAACATCATGAGAATTACGTAAAATTGTGCATTTAAACAGTTTGTATATTGCCTGCTATCCATAAGTGTTTAAAATGTTAGGTGCATTTTATTATTCTTTTTAACAATATTAATAATAGTCCTCTCACCTCCTACTCTGAGTTCACACAGGGAGTCAGTACCTGGAGAAAGAGCTAAGGGTCTGCAAGACATGATCATGTTATGGTACTCGCATTTGGAGGGTTGCTGAGGACCATCATTTCATGCTTGCTCTTTTTCTCCTAGGTGGGAGAGATTTGTCCTTCTGGTATTTGTCCTTTTTCTCCCACCTATTCAGTGGAGAAAGAGTTATGTAACTCCATGTGGCTAGTGAAAGGGCTCCAATGCTGAGGGTTGTATCCTCCTGTTACGAAACCTAGTTCCTTCCTGATCCCTGGAGTACAACCCTTTGTACTAACAGTATCTCCCCCTGACCCCAGGTGGTAAGGAGAAGCAAAGAGATCAAGATTTGTTAATTCTTTGAAAAATACAGAATGGTAAATAAATTGAGGGAGGAGATTTCTTCTTAATTGAAAAAGAAATCCATATTTGGAATGGATATGGGGCAAATTGCATAAGCAGATATTTTTAAGTGTATTAGTAGCTAAAGTTTTTAAAGTAAGCAATAGCAAAATGTCTTGATTCAAAAGTCAGTGAAAATAGAAGTGCACAGTTACCTAAGTTGAAGTGCTTATTGCTCATCATCCACACAGAACTTCAGGTCTTTGTGTCAACCATCATATGCAGACAGCTCCTAAAGAAAACCTAGTTGAGAAAGATTTTTTTTTACTTTATCAGTGGATTGTATGTTTGGAATAATAATGGCTTAAAATGCAACATGTTGTTTGGTCAGTTTTCCAAACTAAAGCTTCAGGACCCTAGCAGTAAGAAAGAAAAAATAAACAGAGCCGGGAGTTCTACTTCCTCTGCACACATATTCATTAATAGGAGTGGGGACATTTTTATACATAACATTTAAGCAAAGAAAAATCAATTTTATCAAAAAGCCCATCACTTTTTATACAGCATCTGGTGCTCTGCTAGGTATACCACATTTCTCACATCACCTCCTTTAATTTCCCCCTTAACTGTATAGGACAGGTAACAAGGGGCCACATTTCTCTGATGAGCAAGCTGAGGCTTAAAGAAATGAAGTTAATTTGTCTGCAGTCCCACAGGTAGGAAGTGCCAGGACTGGACTCTGAACCCAAATTCTTGCCACTACTTGTATTTGTTAATAATTAAGGTTGGCATCATAATTATTAAATACAAGTCACAGAATTACTGGAAAAAAAATGTATTTGAGCCTTAGTTGGTGCTCAGTCTCCTCTTTTCAAGCTGTACAAGGGAAACAAAACACTCATGGAGCGAGCACTTTTGGGCAAGCTATGGAGTTCACTTTGTTGAAGTGAAATTTAGGCTTTTTTCTTTTGGCCTTTTTTCCTTCCGTGTTTGCTTTCTGATCTCTACCACTAGATTTCAGCGCTTTCTCTTAAGCAGGGAGTCTTACCAAAATAGGAAACTGAAAATTGTTTAAATGTTTTCAGACTGTACATTCCATCCTGGAAATCCCCGCAGAAATTAAAACCATGATCAGTGACCCAAGAATTTCCCAAACCATGTAGGCAAAGCCTCACGTAGATCAATGCTCTGAAGTTCGAGAAAACTGAACTCTGGAATCTTTCATAACTGCTTCAATCCTGGGTACTGTAAAAAATGGATGGATAAACTGCCTTTGAAATAATTGTTTTTGTATTTGTTTTAGCAACTTATGAAGTTGAAATTGAAGAACTCCAAAAGGTATTGTTTCCTCTCTTCTTACCAACTTTATAACTAACACAAGTGTGCAGAGTTGATGCTGAAGTAGTTTCTTTTATGAGAGAGGAAGGATTCTTGTCTGTCGGTTTCCTTGATTTCTGGGGCTTTTCAGACTCCAGCTGCTAAGATTCTGAAGCCTGAGCCCTGTAATATCAGAGGCAGAAAGTGTGTGATGGAATGGGAGAAGACAGCCCTGATCCATTCTCGGCCCCTTAGCACCAACTGGCCTTTAATAACTGTCTTTTCAGAGAGAAGAGCTCCTTGGCAGAAGCCAAATTTGCATAACTTATGCCTTCACAAGAATAACAAGACCCTTAAAGGCACATTTTCTGGGCTCCTGGTGGGCATGGTGCTAGGTGCCCCCTTGGAGCCAATGTAGCAACTTGATTAGGGCCTAAGCAGAATCGCTGCTGGCCTCAATCCCAGCTCCTCACTGTGTGATCTGAACCTCCATTTCCTCAACTATAAAATAGAGATAATAGAATTACCCACACCTGGGATCATTGTGGGAATGAAAATAAGATAAATTCAGATAAACAGTTTAATCATAACTGCCTGGCATCTGCTCTAGGCATTTTTCTCTGAGTTTCAGTTGTGTCTTTTGTAAATGCTGCCTTCATGAGGGTAGGAAGCATATGCCTTGTGGCTACCATATCTGCAGTAGTAGCTGCTCCGTAAATAAGGGGACCAGTACTTGTTTCACTGAATTGCTGAGAGAACGAAGTCAGACAGGGGAGGTGAGCACCGAGTACAGCACCTGGCACTCAGCAGACACCTACCTCATGTTGTGACCCAGTCAGGAACGTGCTACTCCTTCCTCACTGAATTCATTTAGTCTAATACCTCATCTTTCTGTATCAGCTTTCTTATGCTCACTGGAAAGGATTGTTCATGTCTGGATACACTTAACAGCTAGAAAGCTATAAAGGATTATTATTCCTATTAACAAGAGTAGAAATATTCTATTAAAGTGCTTCACTTACCTGGCAACATCAGCAAATAAACTTTCCTGCACAAGTGAACTCTCCAAATGATGAAATTTTACCCTATTCAAGATAAAAACAAAGTATTTTTAATTTTTAAATCTTTTAGCCCTCACACGTGTATCGTATTCATCTCCATATCTTTAAGCCTGGTGAGTGGAATCCAATTCCACCCTTTCCTGATGCCTTGCAGTACTTAGGAACTTAAGGAACTGAGTGGGCACAGTTTATGCTCTTCTTTATGAGCGGTTCCTGGGCCCTTTGGGGAGTTCAGAGCTAGTAGCCTTGTCACCAAACCACCCTAAATCTGTTTGCTCTAACTGTTGTCTCTCTTCTGACATTTCTGTGTACTGTCAATATCTTTGTGTCTAGCAGTGAGTCCTTCACATGCCGGATGCTGTGCATACACAGCAGACTGTAATCCTCAGTGTTACCTGGTGAGCTGGTATCACTACTTCCATTTTACACATGAGAACTCAAGACTCAGAGAGGTTAAATAATCTATTCATAATATAGCAGAGATATGAAACAAGATTCCTCTGATTTGTCACTCTAGCAATGCTGCCTTGCAGTTTGTTAGAATTATATGAGGCAAAAAACCAGTGGTCCCTGAATGAAGGCCTGCAGGGCTCACCTCAAAGGAGAGCATGCGAGCTGCAAGACCTGCACTCTGTGGCAGTATTTTTGATGCTTAGGTATTTTCTCTATCCTTCACAGTTCCTGGCTAGATTCCCAATAATGAATGGCATCAGATATGTGATGACTGAATAAATGAGGGGCTGTGTTGTGGTCATTGGGACATCATTTTAATAGAGTCAAATCCAGATCATGCAAGAGATGATTCTTGATCACAGGGTGCATGATCAGTAAGGGAGAATTCCTAGCAGGATTTGCACATTTGCATATGCCAGTTTTGCCCACTGAAACATTGCTCTAATATCATAAATTCATATTCCCTCATATGATTTAACAGTTCTTTATTCCACAGATGCATTCCTAGAAAGGCATGTGGAAAACCATTTATTCTTCTAAGTCACATTATACATTCCCTATGGCATATACTGTAACTTGAGAAATGCTTGGTTTCCTTTCAGATTATCTTCAGCTCCACTGGCAACAGTTCATGGAATCTTCCTGTTGTCAGTGTCTACCTTTGCTCTGTACTGAGACCTCACCTGCCTCACTTTTTGGTCTAGTCTCTAATGAGTGGTAATCAAGCAACAAGGCCTGATTTGGGTTGACTTATGGAAATAACCATCTTCCTCTTTATTTCCAGCCTTGGAAGACTTTTCTCCATCAAGAACTTAGGTGAGTTTTATCTTTAAAAGGAAAAGCATTAATCCAACCACTGATCCTCTGACAACTGAAATAGTTTCCTTCAATGTTTCCAGTGCCTGACCTGGGTCAGCCTCTCCAGTGCTTTATACAGTGCCTGATGCAGAGAAGGTGCTCAGAAGGGGTCCTGCCTGGCTTTTCCCCCATGCCTCATTATAGCCCCACTGCACTCACTCAGCCAGTACCTGCTGAGTCCCCAGCATGTGCCAGCCATTTGCCAACCACTGGGTCTGTGGCAGTGCTGGAGACGTAGCCACTACCCTCAGGGACTCTTGGATCAGTGGAAGAGTCACACAGTCAAACAGGCATATAACACTGTTTGAATCCCAAAGAACACAGAATTTCCAAAATGCACTAAGCTATTTCAACTTTGCTGATTTTGTTCCCTTAATTCATTAATTCACCCCAACTTAATGATCGGGCATATATCAGCTGACCATCAAATGTTCCCTCCTGTAAAAACCCTTCCTAATCCCCTCTGTCAGAGAGAAGTAACCAGTCTGTTCCCTGTGGTACCATAAGGTACCATAAGATACACACATGCTTGCACTAATGTCACTGTATGTCATTTGTTTGCTAACATGCCAGTTCATCCTGACTCCCCACGCCTTTTTGTCTGTGAGCTCCTTGTGTTCTGGGCAGGGCTCCTGTTTGCTTGGTATTCCTAATACATCTCCTACTTCCTGGGGGCAAAGCAGGGCCCTTACTTGCCGCTTCAGAGTCTGTATCTATCACTCTTCGCCTGAAGTTATCTTTGATGGATTAGAATAAACATGGTTGGTTAGCTCTGGAGAAGCAAGTATCAACATTCCTGGTGGGGCAGAAACCTAAGTGCTAAGTGCTGCATCACGGGGGAAACTGCTTCATCTCTCTCTGAGTTCTGGTCTTAGCTCAATCTATGACCCCCATAATTACCCTCTACCATCTAGCATAGCACTGGGCACCTGTCAAGTGGCTAATTAGTTCAACAGTTACTGAGCTTTGACTCTCTTCACACAACACTAGCTTCTAGGTACAAAAATCAATAGATTCCGTACCCTTGGTTTAAGATGGAAGTAGAGGCCAAAGTGGTTTGGGGCAGGGGGTATTTGGAGGGGAACATAGCCACATAAGTAGGAAATTACAATATAATATGATCACTGGTAGGCAAGTTGTAAAAGCAGAGGTGAGGCTCCAGGCGTGATTCCTGGAATAGTGACAACAGAGCTGGATCTTGAAAGACATGAAGAGCTGGCCAGGTGAAAATGTCAGAATGTATGTCCCAGGCACAAGGAATAGTGTGAGCAAGACACAGGCATAGTGTTAAACAGTGGGGCTGGTACAGGAATTAACAAACAAGGATAATACTTGAGTATGAAATGCAGTGTGGGAGCAGCAGGAATAAAGCCAGGGAAGTATTCGGAGCTGGCTCTAGGAGGGCCTGAGCTCCCTAGGTTATTAGACCAGCCTTGTCCAATAGAAAGATAATACAAACCACATGGGTCATTTAAAATTTTTCTAGTAACCACATTTGAAAAAAGTAAAAAACAGGTGAAATTAATTTTAACAATGTATTTTATTTAGCCCAGTATATATAAAATATTATCATTTCAACATGTAATCAATATAAAAACTATTACTGAGGTGTTTTATACTCTTTTTTCATACCAAATTTCCAAAATCCAGATGTATTTTACATTTTCAGCTCAATTTGGACCAGATACACTTCAAGTGTTCAACAGATACATGTGGACAGTGGCTACTCTGTTGGACAGCACAAATTCAGACTTTATCCCATAGGCCAGAGGGAGCCACAAAAGAGCTTCAAAGAAAAGCACCTTCCATAATATTCCTGAACGTCACAATATTAAATTAAATTTGATGGTTCTGTATGGAGATCCAGCTGTATCAGCCTTGCATCCCAAGGCCTAGGGATAGGAAGATGGATTACAAGGGACATGTACATCAACAAGGCAGGTAAACGCCTTAGGAGAAATATCAGCCGTGTGAAATGGGAACAAAAAGTTACATAATTCTGTCTCAGCAAATGCTTTGATGAAGAAAAGGACACCAACAATTACTGACAGTCCACTATGTGCTATGAACAATGCTAGACTTTCAACATTTTTATCATATTTCATTCTCATTCCACAGTAACAGTGTACTTTGGCCTTGTGGCCTTTCATTTATAGATGAAAACATATGATTTTCAGAAAGCTTGATCTCAGGCTATTAGAAAGAGGTGTAGTGGGGATTAGAACCAGTGCTCACTCCACAGCCCCTGTTTATCACAGAAGCGCTCGTACACAGCCCTAATGGTGGACAAGAGTGCTCAGTAATTAGATGAATGAAGGACACTCTTTGAAACTCTTCCGCCTTTCAGAACAGCACACTTTCCCGGTGTTCTTCCTCCCTTCGTGACCACCCCTTCTGATTGTCTCTGAGGGTTCTTTGTCTGCCTTGCATATAAATGTGGATGTAGAACTCCACAGTTCACTAGCATACAGAAACAGAAGTTTTCACGTGGACATTGACGGTCCCAGCATTCTGTCCTTGGCCCTCATTTTTTTCATTATACTCTCCACCCTGACTCCTATACTCCTCACCGCAGCTGTTGTCTATACAGGTCTTCCTCACTATCCAAAAGTAGAAACCTTTCATAAGGTTTTATGTAACTACATAAAGCAAAGAAGCAATTGCCATTAACTTACATGGAAAAAAATTTTTTTGGTGTTCCCAGACCCAAAAAGTAATCTCTCTTAAGCTTTTCTGATATTTCAGGGCACACCTTACTAATGGATGCACAAAATAAGTAGAAGTAAAGCACAGGCACTCACAGACACAGTTCAAAGCTATGGTGGCCTGACACTGAGCTGCTGAGTGCAGTTCCTGGGGAAGGAGGTTGGCAGGGCCACTCTTGCAGCTCAGGGTGCCCACTGCCTCTGTAACAGCTGGCTGCAAAACAAATGCTGAATGCTATTTTTGCTTTTTGCCTATCTTCATAAAAGTAAAAATCCTCTTCGGATTTCTTTCAGGTACTAATGTAGATCTTTTGTAAAAAATGAATTGGCATAATGTAAACTTTGGGAAAGGGGGGGATATCTGTATATTGGTACATGGTAGCCATTCATTTCATTAGGGAACACTGGCTGAGAACCACTGTGTGCCAGGCGCTGTGCTGTGGCGGCCAGGGATTACACCATACTGGTGCTGGGAATTCACACATAAATAACAGAGCTCTGCTGATTTATGACTTGATTTTTAGTTAGTTTTCAAGGCAAAGTGGAGAAACCGGAGACAGATCCATAGACACTGTAATACAAGACAGGACAAAGCATTCAGGGAGCAGATAAGAAGGTATGACTGCTTGGAAAAATCAGGGAGAGATTCTCAGAGGTAAGATGATATAGACAGATTGAGAAGGGTGTTGTGTTTTCCAGCAATAAAGATGTGGAAGACATGTCTGATAAAGGAAATGTCAAATAAAAAGGGAGAGTTGCTCAAATAGGTGGTAGGCTTGGGGAATTATGAGGAACAGACTAGTGCAAAAGTGGAGGGAAGGAGCAGAGGGAGATTGGAGTTGGAAAGAAAGGTGGGGGTCAGATCACAGTGGGACATTTTATCCTTCAGGCAATGGGGAGTTAATAGGAGACTTTAAGCAAGAATTCACTCTTGCATTGATTGTAGCATGCAGAAACTCAAGGAAAGTATCTATGGTTGAGCTGATCCTGGTCTTTTAAAAAGAAAAGGATTCACGTATGTTTAAATTCATTTTTCCCATTTGTTTCCTGTAGGATTAGGTGGTACCTGTCATCTAAACACTCCAAACTTCACTTTTTCCCTGGTATCTCTTCATATTTTAGCCCTAAACATGAAGATAAGAAAGTGGAGGAAAAAGAGCCATGTGAATTGGAACCTCAGAAAACAGAAAAGGATCTACATTCAAACCATCTTGTCAAGGTATGTTTGTTCCAGCATTCCAAACAGTACCGTTCAGCTGGGTAGCAGGGTCCATTCATGGAGTGACTTTTTAGAGGCTGAGACCTGCAGTTCTCCAGAAAGACAGAAGATGCAGTGACTGTTGGGCATTTTATCAAGTGAATGAAGGTGACAATTACAGTGGGATGATAAACGCCATGGAGTTTCCACTACTTAGGTATGAGACAGGCCTAAGAGTCAGGCTGGGATTAGTGTGAATTCAGCAAAGGACCCCCAGGGCAAAATATAAACACTCATTCAGGAACTGACCACACACTCACAGGACCCTGGAGGGTCTCCATAAGTTCCGTGCTTATAAGAGTTACCTATACTCTGAGTTCAGGCACCCCATCTGTTAAAAGATAATAAGTAATCCCTACCCAATTACCATATCCACTCCCATCCTGACTCTATCTCATTTGTGATGATAAAACTCAGTAATGTACATGAAAGTGCTTTGTAAGCCATAACCATAAAAATTAAAAGTATTGTTCATTAATTATAATGTTAATTAATAGTAAATACTGTATAAGTGTGTGAATCCATATCCAGTTGACACGATTCCCCTCAAATACCTAGTATGCTTGAGGAGGCTTAAACCATAGATACCACTGGGGCTACTACCAATGCGCAAAAGGTTGTAGATGCCTGTTGTGGATGTGTCTACTCTACAGTATTGAATTGTTCTAGTTCCTTCTGCAGGGCTTGGGTAAGTCACACAGGTTGTTGACAGGGTAGGACTGAGCTGGAAGGCCCAGAGGCCAGGCTGGGTGTTGAAAGAGGACCACAAAGTGGCATAATGCAAACAGGAAGTAAGTCACTAATTATGGAAGACAGGGAACAGAGCCAGTGAAGCTATACCCTGTGTCAAGGTCGGGGGAGACAGGAGCAAGTCCATAAATGGGTGCTGAGGCCAGAGATCAGGAAGGGGTTAATTGGGAACATATGAAAAAGGCAGTAGAGGAGCATGATTAAGGATACTGACCATGAAAGAGCAGAAAGTGTTCTTTTTCAGTGCTGACTGTATGACAAGAGCCAGGTATGGGGTCAGATTACCAGCAAACAGACATACTCCTACTTTCATGGACTGGATTTGAGTTTTGGAAGTTATTAAAAGTTATTTGGAATATGTTAGTGAATGTGGTGAGTGGTCAGGCTGGGCGATGCTCTTTGGGATCAAATATAAATTGTAAGTCAGTCTTACGTTATGCATTGTGATTCAGCCTCTCTGGGAAGCATCCCCAAGGACAGCCCTAAGAGAATCCACGTACTGCTTCATGAGGGGATACACTGAAGGAAGACGGTCACTATGCTTGTGTGAAACATTGACTTCATTGCTTTCTTACCATTAGTCCCAATTTTAAAAACTCATTTTGGACTGTATGACTTAAAAGAATGCCAATGCCCCTTCTCTTGTTCCTTCTCGTAGTTATCCCAGATCTCCTAAGAACTCAGCAAATTCCATGCCTTATATCTTATATAATCATTTTAGTTTTTAGATATATCTTGCATCCTATATAATCACTTTAGTTTTTTCCAAGTACTTTCAAACACTCATTCCTCATGTCCATTTATAGACAGGACAGTAATCCCTCTCCCACTGTCATCTGATAATTCTAAAGCACTTAGCTGACCAGAAATACTCTAATTCTCCTCTGTCTCTGGTGTCTCTTCCTGTCAGTCTATCCAGATCTTTCTGAAATGCAAGTCTGATCAGGTTTCTCCCCTGCCCAGCTCCCTGACTAGGACATAAAGCCCACTCTTTGCCTCGCATGCAAGACCCTTCCTGACTCAGTCCCATTCTTCAGCCTCATCTCTGGTCCTTCTCTCTCTCTCCCTTCCCTGGGCCCTTCTACTCTTCCCTCATGAGGAACCCCCATAGGACACTAACATTTCTCCAAATACCCCATGCCTTTGCTCATGCCGATTTATCTACCAGGTATTCCTTTATCTCCTCGATCAATCTCTTACCTACATTTTAAAATACAGTTTCATTAAATCTGCTTTTGAAGTCTTCCCCTACCTGCCCTGTCTTACATCAGGAGAACTGACCTCCCTCTCCTCTCTGTTTTCATCTCAGTGAGCAATACTGCTGTAAATAGCACTCACCACACTATACCTTAAATCATTTGTGTGTATTTTCCCTTTGACCAGTGTGTAAGCCACCATGTCCACTGCATTCATCGCCAGAGCTTAGCATGCTGTCTCAGCTTTAATGTTTGACAAATGCTGAAGGGAAAAAAGTGAGGAGCAGAAGAATGCAGGTGGAAAGATGAGATGTCATGCAAAGAAAACAGCATCTGTTAGTTAGTCCTGCCTCAATCAGTGGATTACTAGCTATGAGACCAGAGTCCAGTTATTTAAGCTTTCTAAATCTTTATTAAGAAGACTAATATTTCCCTAAAAGGGTATCATGAAGATAACGTGAGAGAAAATATATGAAGAGCCTGCTATAGTCAATGCTCTTATTATATTCTGACTGCCTCCTGTGGGCCTGCCTCTTTGCATTCATTGGCCATTCTGAGGTAGACAAGAGACATGGTATGCATTCTCATGAAATGTATAGTCTAGTAAGACTGCATTAAGTAAACTAGTAAATCACAGCTATCTGTGAGGAATGAATGAGCAAAGAGAGCACCATGAGTAAGTAAACCCCTGAGCATGAAGTCAGAACCCTGCAGAAATCCACCTGTTGCATGCATTTAGGTGGATGGCAATGACAGGACACCTGGAAGAATCCAGATGATTGAAGCCCACAGAGGCAGGAGGAGCATGCTGGCCCGAAAGCAGGAAGCTGCAACTGATGTCATCCAGACAAAGGCCTGCCCCCACAACCTGGAGCTGGCCAGGCACTCCCAAGGCCTCTGTAAGTTGTATTTCTTCCTGGTTCTCTTCAATGTTACCAGATTATTTGAAAGCTGTATGTGACCAAGATTTTATTTTATAAATACTTATGGAACATCTGTTATATACCAAGTAGCTTGCCCTCGTGAGGCAGTTGGGTAATTGTAGAAAGAACACTGGCCTTAGAAGTTAAAAGACTAGGGTTCAAATTTAGGCTCTGATATGTTTAGTGACATAGTAAGTAATTTCATATTCCTGCAACTCAGTTTCTTCATTGTAAAAAGAGATTATATGGACCTCACAGGGGTTTTGTGAGGACCAAATCTAACTGTATGTCACACGACTCAGGTACTCAGCAAAGGTTTATTCCTTTCTTTTTATTATCTTCCACCTCCTGCTGATTTTGTAGGCCCAAGTGATTGACACACTGATGACACTGTGAGATAAAAAAATATAAAGTATATTTCTATATATAGTATCATAATATAGTGTGATATATTGCAATATAGTGCTCTATTATATTCTGACTGCCTCCTGTGGGCCTGATGGATTAGTTGACTTTATTCAGTTGCATTTTACCTTCATGTTAGTCAAGATTCTTGATTGCAGTTAACAGTAATCAAATTATACTGTGTTAAGCACAGAAAAAAAAGGCTTACCCACCAGAAAGTCTGGGCATAGCTGCTGGATCCAGGAACACAAACAATGTCTCGAGGGCTTAGTATTACTTTTTCTATGCTAGTTTTGCTCCCTTCCAGCTTGACTCCATCTTCAGGCAGATTATACCCTTATAGAGGCAAGATGGCATCTAGCAGTGACAGGCTTACCCCCAGTCCTTTTGGGAAGCCCAGAGGAAAACTAGAAATTGTTATCTTCTCAACAGTTTTAAGCAAAGGCCCACATCTGGGTCTTACTGGCTCTGACTGGGTCACGTGCCATCCCTGAACCAGTCATTGTGACTGGGAGATACGGTGCTCTGATTGACCCAGCCAGGGCCATAAACTACCCCTGAAGCCCAGTGTAGAGTAAGTTCCACCAAAACTATGTAACATCAGATTGAAGGATTTCCCAAGAAAGTAAAAGGACTGTAATCAGGAAAGAAAAAAAAAGTAGACACTGGGTAGACAGAACAGATGGATGTCTGCTCCTGCCCAGCAAGTCATGGCAAATGACTGACACTTCATAATGTGTTACAGTCACATTTAGGAAGAATATGTTGCAGTGATCATGAGATGGATTCGAGGCCCCTAAGTTCTGCCTCCAGGTTAACTGGCTGCATCTCTGCACTGATGCATACTCCCTGCATACTCTGCTCTATTCTAAGTTTCCTGACTATGTCATGTACTTTAGGGCCCCTATAATTTTCTTTGATCTCTTTCCTCTGTCTGGAATGCCTTTGTGCCACATGCCCATGTCGTAGTCATCCTTCAAGTTCTATCTCAAAAGCTATTTCTAATGGAGGCCTCTTTACCTCAATCCATCCTTCTCTTCCCCACAGCTCTTCACTCCTCTCTGTTTACACACCTCTTAGACAAACCTTGGGGAAATTTTCTTACTTTCATGTGCAAATGGTGACAATTACTACTTATTTCCCAGGGCTGTTTATCAACACATAGTGTCCAGTTCATGTGCTAAATAACTTAGTTTTCTTCATTTATTCCCTTTCTAAAGAACCTGTAGCATGCCTTACATTATAATTCTTGGTGTGCATGTCTGTCTCCCATGGTACGCAGTCAGCACCTTGAGATTAGAGAACATTTGGTATTTCTCTCTGTGTCTCTGCAACCTGGTAGTATCTGGCACACAGGTGATACCCAACAAAGCTTTATTAAAGGAAGGAATGAAACAATAAATAAATCAAACTTCAGGGAGAGCATGGTAGATTTGAAAATGTGAATGATGTTACCTATTAAAACAAGTAAGGTGAAGAATAATTTTTTATTTTGGGGAAATTTATAATAGTATCAGAACTGAAACAGAAAGCAAACATCCATACATGCAGTAACCAAAACCAAAGCTGCTCTTGCTCTGAGGTTTTTACTGAGCTCTGAATCCCTTGAGCTCCTGTTTTGATGGCATGATGTACAAAGCACAGGAGCCATATCCCAGGGCCTGCCCAAAGTGAGTTTCTAACAGGAGAGTTCTGTGCAAAGTTGGAATCTCAAAGGATTATGTTTACACAGAATGAATAAGACTGTACCTAAAGTTAACAATACTGTATTGTATACTTAGAAAAAATGTTATAAAAGGGTAAATCTCAAGGGTTCTCAACACAATGACATTTTTAAAAATAAATAAATGGGAAAAATGAAAAAAGAAAAGACATTTCTGGTGAGATAAATGACACATTGGAAAGTACAGAGGTAGCATTAAATAAAAGCCGTGTCTTAAGATGAGAAGTGAATAGACTTATTTGTAGTATAGAAAAAAATGAAAGGGAGAAAAACAAATTGAGATGAATAAAAGAGTTAAAGGAGAGCCCTGGATATGGGGCTGAAAGCCATTTTCTAGCAGTTATGTACTGTCCATAGGGAGTCACTACAGATTCAGGGATTACCCCATGATGAAGACAGTCCAAGATTGTTCTGAGCAGTCCATGCACACTGCTAAAGCATAAAGGGAGTTGCTGTTCCCATTAATAATTCTCTGCAGGATTTATGATGAATAGCACAAAATGCTTAGTCAAGAAGAATGGACATAAGAACAGGGAAGTTTTAGAAAAACAAATGCAGTTGAGTGTCTTTCTATACTCCTATGCAAATAGGCCCATTTTGAAAAAAGAAAATGAGCAAAATGAAAAAAAAACAGGAATTAACAAGACACAAACCTCAATGAGAAGAAAGAAATCTGCCCATTTCTACCCTGGTGCTGGGTAAAGGAAAAAATCTCTGTTACCATAAGCTGATCCTCATGCACATTTGCAGTTCAAATTTACTATCTGTATGGTCCCAAAGGAACCCAGTTTATCTAAAGTGACATCAGCTTGGAAGCCCCCCGAGAAAACTGGTAGAAGCAAACATAAATCCTTTGGTAGAACCTACCTTTATATTATTTTAAATAATTCCCACAATATTTAAAAATTAACAATTCATAAACAAAAATAACTAAACACACAAAGAAGTTACAGGATGAAAACCAGCAGAACATACAACAGGAACTAACCATAAGTTAGTACAGATGTTAGAATTACTAGACAAAAAACATAACAATATTTAATATCCTTTTAAAATAAAAATATGAATCAGGAATAAATAGATTTGGAAAATAATGAAAATAATTAATACATTAATAGAAATGTGAATGAATTGTATATCAGTTTATACCTGAAAAAATTATATAACTAGAAGATAAATCTAAAGAAATTATCCAAAATTCATTCTACAGGGGAAATAATAGAAAATGATGAGAGGCTAGGAGCTCATGGAGTGCAAAAAGAGAAGTTTTAACATCAAATCAGAGTTCTGTAAAAGGACACTACATAGAGTGGGAAAGAGGAAATAATAGATAAAGAGATAATTTCTGACAATCTTTCAGAACTGTTCAAAGATACCAGTTTGTAGATCCAGAAACCCTAAAGCTTTCAATCAGGATAAATAAATCCACACCTAGCCATATCTTGAAGAAACTGAAGAATATTGGAGAATAGAATATTTAAAAATACCTTACAAAGCAGACAAAGGGAAAAGACCAATTACCCTCAAAGAAACATGTAGGCTGCCTGCTGGATTATCATTAACAACAGTGTATAACTAGAACACAGAGCTGCTGAATGATATTAAATGTCTACCCAGAATTTTATAACTAGTGAAAATACATGTCAAGAATGAAGGGAAAAAAAGATATTTTCAGACAAATAAAAACTGAGATATTTTAATGGCCAAATTAAACTTTCTAAAGGAAGTTCTAAAGCATGTTAGGCAGAAGGAAAACAAGCCAAACAGAGAATTTTGAATCCAAGAAAGAAAGCTTAGCAAAAGTATCAATTAAATAGAATGATACTAATGTCAAATTGTGGAGGAAAGAAACTAAAATACTGGACATATTAATAGCATGTTTTGGGAAGGTGATCAAAATTAAAGCATTCTAATGTTTTTAATTGTGAATAAAAATTTTCTTTCACTTAAGCCTTAAGATAGTTGAAATAGCTAGGACTTATTAATGAAGTGATACCAGTCAAAGAGTGAAAAGGCAAGTCACAGAATAGAAGAAGACATTTTATTTAATATATATTTGACAAAGGACTCTTATTGAATATATGTATCTTCTATAATCTTCCTTATATCCAGAAAACATAAAGTAGAAATCAGTCAGAAAAACAAGGAAATTTAGAGAAATGGAGAAATATTTGAACAGGCACTTCACTAAAGAGGATATTCAAAAGGCAGTTATGAAAAGCTGTTCAACTTCAGTATATCTCAGGGAAATGTAAATGAAACCTACAATGTGGTATCACTGCATGCCCAGCAAAATGACTGAAAAAAAGAAAAGACTAAGAACTATTCTATGCTGCTAGAACTGTGAATTGGGATAATCACTTTGGAAAACTGTTTGGCACTATCTGTTAAAGTCCAACATGTGCATATCCTTTGACCTACCGGTTCCACACCTGCTTTTATACCCAACAGAAATGCATGCTTCAGTTTAGAAGATACATACAAGACGGTCACAGCAGGACTTTCTCTAAAAGTCTCAAACTGGAAACTGTCCAAATGTCCATCAAAAATAGAATGGATAAATGTAATATATTCACACAGAACAGATAGTTATGGGAATGAACAGATAACAACTATATGCAACAACAGAGGTGAATCTTACAACCATACTAAATGAAAGTAGGGACACTTTCTGAATGATTCCATTAATATAAAGTTCAAAAATAAGCAGAATTTACCTCTTGTATTAGAAGTTAAGATAGGGAATAGTGACCATAAAAGAGCACACGATGGGTGCTCTGGGACACTGGCAATGCTGTGCTTCTTGATCCATGTGCTGTGTGCATGAATATGTTCAATTTGGAAAAATTCATTAAACTGTCCTCTTATGATATGTGCCGTTCCCTGTATGTTATACTGCAAGTAGAATTTAAAACATAGTAGGGCAACTGTTGACAGACAGACATAGCACATACACCTTCCAAATAACAGAAAAGAGGAAAACAGAATGTAGAAAGAAAAAGGAACCTCAAACAATCAAGAAAGAGGAAGATGAGGGGGGGAAAAACAGCACAAATAAGAAGTATGTTATAAGAGAGTAGGTATAAATCTTATGAAATAAGATATATTTATATTTATAATTATCAGTAAGCACTGTAAATTTAATACATAAAACTCTATTTAAAAGACATATGCATCCAAATAATTCAATATTTTAAAATATATGCATTTGAGTGCTTTTATGTACCCAGCATTGTTCTAGGTACTGGGGGTACAGCAGTGAACAAAACAGACAAAAATTCCTATCCTCTTAGAGGTTACATTCTAGTCAAAGGAGACAGATAATATATATATAAACAGTAAAATACCCACAATGTGGAATGGTAGTAAATGTTAGAAAAAAATCTAAGCAAGGAAAAAGAAGTAGGGAGGAAGGTGGAGGCAGTAAATGTTGCAATTTTAAAATGCTTATACATGACTTCAAAGCCATAAAGTAGAGGACGACAGCCATGTGTACGTAGGATAAGAATGTTCTGCTCTGGGGAGAAGGGAAAAGGAGTGCAGATATCCTGAGGCTGGAGCTGACTAGTGGGTTGGCAAAACAGCGGAGGCTGGTGTGGCTGGAACGGAGTGACTAGAGGAGTGTGGAAGGGGGGAGGTCAGAGAGAGAACAAGGGGCCAGACAGTGAAGGGGCTTTTGTAGACTACTGCAAGAGTTTTGGCATTTATTCGAAATGAGTTTTTTAAAAACCAATGAAAAGTTTTGAGCACAAGAACAGAATGATCTGACTTGCATTTTAAAGAATAATCTGTGAACGAAAACTGTAGAAGGATAAATTGGGGGGACCTGTTAGGAATTTGCTGCAATAACTGAAGTGTGAGATGGTGGTAGCTTGGAGGTGGATACTATGGTAAAATTGTTGAGATGTGTTCAGGATGTAATTAGAAAGTAGAGAAAGGAGTCCAGGATGTCTTCAAGGTTTTGGACCTGAACTGTGAAAGGATGGGCTAATACTCTTTATTGAGGTTCAGGGAAGAGCAAATTTGCAGAGAGAAACTATGGGTTTGGTTTAGAACATAGTATGTTTAAGAAACCAAATGAAAGTAGTGTGAAGGCTGATGGAATACCTAGAATTCATGAGAGATGTCTAAGATAGAGATATAAATTTGGGAATTGTCTGTGGTTTTAAAATGAAACCAGACATTTTACATTCGCCTCAGCCAAAAGGAAGAAGGAAGAAAAAAATTGCCCCAAACTAAGAATTAAGCAACAGTGCTTGTAGCATCTTTGTTTTATGCTAGATAAAGTTTCTTCTTTTTTCTTAAGGAAAAGCAGGATCTTATACCCCTGGGAGGTAACATTCATTAAGATGGTTTGGGGCCTACAGGCTCTTGACTTATCAGAGGATAAAATCTTGTTGGCTTGGTTCATTTAGTTAATAGACACAAGTCAATTTGCTTATTGTTTATTTATCAGATGTATTACTTATTTCTGATAAGTACTTCATCTGAAAATGGTTCTGAATCACTTGTGCCCTAAATATTAACCTATGCCAACTAATAAAAAGGTGGCAGTTTTATGGTTATAACAATTGTACAGCTCTATGAAATAAACCAGCATCTAAGTTTAGCAGGCTAGCTACTTGTGAAATAATCCCATTACATTTTTCAACCTGGCACATTATCTTCTAGCTAATCCCATCATTAATGAATGAGAAATGCTGATATGCTCAATCAACTTTCTAAGAAATTTTAAGAAAAATTGTCACAAAACTGGATAAGGTCATCTTGATGTAAAGAAGGAAACCCCAGGGCTTTATCCTAGAGAATTTCACCATTTGAGGTCAGGGGTTAAAAGAGAACTATCAAAGAAGAGGGAGGAGCTACTGCTACACCAGGTAACTAGCACTCTACATAAATATGTACTAATCCTTGCCACAGTCATGTAAGAATAGGTGTTAGAATCATTATCCCGATTTCAGAGAATCATAACTGCGGTTCTGCAAGGTGAAGTACTTTGTCAAAGCATCATACATAGCAAGATTATAATCCAGTTTTAGGATATTTAGTCTGCCTTTTCCTATTCTTACCTCCATTGCTAGTGATGCATGTGAATGCATATATGATGGCATCTTATTAAATGTTCTGCAGGGGTTTCTCTGCTTTCCTTACAGGTGAGTATGTGAAGGCCTTGGAGGTGACTAAGGAAACCCCAGGCCAAGAGGTCTGTAAACCAGGTTCCACCTCAGAGGAGACATACGATGATGTTGAATACCCCAGGAGACAGGGGTAAGTATATTCCAGCCCTCCTGAAATGTGGTAACACTTTAAATAAATGTGCTGAGACTTTACATATATAATACAACTAGTTAATGGCCTTTGGATCTTTTCTTCCCACAGACCAAAGTCAGACTTCTCTAACTCATTTGCCTCAGAAAATAGTACGTATAAGAAGATATTTGAAACCGACAGTAGGAATTGCTTAGTGCTTCTGTGGCTGACTCGTGATAAGATGTCTTTTATGTGTGTGTATTTATTTTTTAATAATTCCGATTGGGCAGGATGATGGTAAGCCAAGAGGAGTGGTCCAAGGTATGTGCTAATAAGTGCATTTATAAGAGCAAAAGTGATGATGCTAGTTATGCGGCTCCTGTGGCAAAAAAAAATCCTGGCTGTGAAGTCGCTTCCTTCCTCATCTCTTTGTGATGCAAGTCTGCTTATAGGAATGTTTTTACTTTAAACACTTTCATGGCTTCCCAATACTTTTAAGATCGGCTTTTGCATGCATGATCTAGAGGCCTTGACTGGTTTGCCCCACCTGTCTCTGCAGCCTCTTCTCACACGCTACTCAGTCTTCATCTCTGAGATCCAGTCATGCTGAACTTTTCTTAGCTTCTCTGACTTGCCAGGTCCCACTGCACGATATTTGCATATGCTGCTCCCTCTTCCTGGAATGTTCTTCCTCCCTGTGTCCTTTTGCTATGTGAATCTTCATCTTCCTGTGATCTCAGCTCAATCATTAATCCCCCAGGGAATATTCTCCTTGGTGTACAATCTCATCAGCCTCATAGTACCATGGCCCTTTTTCTAATAGCACTTGTCACAGCTATAATTTTATATTTATGTACTTCTTCAATTAACAAGTCTTCCCTTCTAGACTGTCACCATCTTTAAGTTTACTGTTTTTTCTAGCTCCTGACAAATGCCAGGTACATGTTAGATATTCAAAATATAGTTGTTGAATGAATGGATAAAGCAGTAATGGAAGAGAGATAACCAAATGCTCCTCTACTTGTTTTTGTTCTTCTTAGAATGTCAGGATTTTGGATGGAGAAAACAACCTTAGAGATCATTAAACCCAGTTCCCTTATTTTATAAAGGAAACTAAGGCACAGAAGTTAGTGACTTCTAAAGTCAGTGAGTGTGAGTTAAGTTTTAAACTTGAAAATCCTCCATTGCCAGAGTGGACTCAAAATATATCTGTGTATATTAAGCTTATGTGTTGGGCTTGGCTAAAGCCATGCTATGAAAGGAAAGATGATTCAAAATGTGTTGGTTCTCCATTATTTCCTCAACAGTCAGCACAATGTCTGATGTTTAGTAGACTCTGATTATTATATATGAAATTGAAATGGCAAGGTTAGAAGGAAGGAATCTGTTGGGAGAATATATTTTCAAATTATATATCCAATAAGGGGCTAATATCCAAATCATAAAGAGCTCATACAATCCAACACCAAAAAACCCAAATAATCCAATTAAAAAATGGGCAGAGGACCTGAATAGACATTTCTCCAAAGAAGATACACAGATGGCCAACAGACACACGAAAAGATGTTCCACATCACTAGTTATCAGGGAAATGCAAATCAAAACCAAATGAGGTATCACCTCACACTGATCAGAATAGCTACTGTCCAAAAAACTAGAAATAACAAGTGTTGAAGAGGATGTGGAGAAGAGAGAATCCTTCTAAACTACTGGTGGGATGTAAACTGGTGCAGCCACGGAGGAAAACAATATGAAGTTTCCTCAAAAAACTAGAAATAGAAATATCATATAACCCAGCAATTCCACTTCTGGTAATTTACTCAAAGGAAACAAAATCACCAACTCAAAAAGATATATGCATACCTATGTTCACTGCAGCATTATTTACAATATTGAGCCAAGATATGGAAGTAACCCCAGTNTATATATATATATATATATATATATATGGTATCATGCTAAGCAAAGTAAGTCAGATAGAGAAGACAAATACCATGATTTCACTTAATGTGGAATCTAAAAAAAAGAAAAAGAAATGAAAAGACCCATAAAAACTAACAGACTGTTGGTTATCATAGGGAAGGGAGTTGGAGAATGGGCAAAATAGGCGACCAGATATCTTGGTATGGTAAACAGGGGGTAACTACACTTACCACAGTGAGCATTTAGAAATGTACATAATTATCAAGTCACTATGTTATACATCTGAAAGCAATATAATATTGTAAATCAACTATATTTCAATTTTTAAAAATCATAAAGAGGATTGAATCTCTTGATAAACCAATTCTATTTGACTAAATTAGATCACTTGAATCAGGGATGGAAGCAAATATTAATTTTTCACTTGTACATATTAGAGAGGTTTAATTGTTTTTATCATATGCTTGTAAAAACATGTGCATATATTTCAGTAAAGACTACTTAACAAACAAAAGATCAAAGTACCTAGTAGCTGGTATGTATCCAGTAATTTTTTGTTAAATGTGAGTCTGAACTATTGTCATTATTATGAATGAAAAACTTTTTTTTAATTTCAGAAGAAAATAGTGAAGAAATGTATGAAGATGTCTACAAAACAAAGAGCAACTACTCAAAGATAGAGTGAGTTTGTCTCTTTCTTGGCCTTGTAGCAAATAGTGAAAACCAGAGTTTAAACAACAAACCGCTTACCCTGCACCCCACCATCTTTAGGGAGGGTTTCATTGAGAGTGGAGAAGAACCATTGTAATACTACTTTGTGATGGATAGGACAGTTTTAATTGTGTATAATCAGATGCTATTATTTTTCATCATATTGCTTTCTATTTTGAGAAAATGTCCATCTCTCAGAGTAGAGGATTTTGATACTGTGTTGAGAAATAAGTGAAAAAGCAGGAGTAACTATCAATAACACTCACTTCACTTCTATAGTAGCATTTCCAGGAAGAAATCAATGATTATAACTTACCTGTGTCTTTGCAAGTTATTAAGACTGTCTCTGAGCTTTGGGCCTACTTTAATATCAAATAATTCAGTATTATCAAGAATAATATTTGTTCAAATGGGCATTATTCATCAAGTTTAGTTTTTAGGGGCACATTGTGGAAAGGAAAACAGCAGTGGTCAAAAGCAGCTGGATGGTTGAAGGGAAAAGAGGGTATCCATGCTAGGGGGGATGATGTAGGGACATCATCCCCTCTCTTTACCCCCCAAAAAACTCAAAAGCATATTTTGTAATCATCAACTGGAGAGTAATTGTACCACCACTCTTGTTTTATTATTCAGTAAATTAAAAATCAGTGATGTGAATTTTATGATCCAGGAATTCCTATAATGTATTTCTAGACTAGTCCATAAGCTGTTTTTCTGAGTCATATTCTCTAAAAGGAAGACTGCTCCATAAACTGGTCATGGAGGCCATTTGGGGTAGATGAAAATTTGTACTGATATATAATAATTCTCTTCATAGTTGACTGGTATGTACTACTTCATATTGGTCTCTAAACAAATTAGAGTGTAAACTTGCTAAGGCATTTTCTCACTCTTTCTTGAGTGGGGGGTGTTTTGGAAATGAAATTGAAGCCTCTGATCTTTTTTACTACAACAATCTTCCATCTCTAATACTCTCTCAAATGTTATTTGTATGCTCTGATTTCTCTTAGTTTAGATGGGAAAGAAACACTTAAAAGACTACAGAAGTTCTTCAAGAAAGAAAAGGATAGATTTAAAATGAGGAAAACCAAGTCAAAAGAAAATTTAAGGTAAAAAGTCCCTTTTTATTTTTCTTTCCAGGAAAGGATTAACAGTGCTAGCCTGGTAATTATACAGCTTGATATTCTCCATCCTTTTCTTAGAAGCAGTGAAGGGAATATCAGAAACTAAAACCAAAGGCCCTGGTTAACACCTACCTCCTTCTTGCCAATTTTTGAGTGAATCATATCCATACATACTAATAAGAAAGTGATAATGTCCCTTTTGAAAAAAATTTATGAGAAAGAGTTGTAAACAGGGTAGAGGGAAAGTCTTAAGTCTGGAAAGGAAACTTTCCTCTTCACCCTTGGCATATATTCCTGTTGTTTTCACTAAGCATTATGTTATTAATTCCACCCTTTTATGCTTACTTAGCCCTAAAAGTTCCAGTGGTTTATCTACACTTTTGTGTTCTAATTTGCCTCTCTTGAAAGAGGCAATGTGTGGAGAGGAGAAATATACTTTTCAGCTGAATGGTTCATATATCTCAAAGTCTTACACCTAGAAAGGACCCTCCAAGATCACCCTAGCTAATCGCCTGTGTTGAGAAGGTTACAGATTCACCAGCAGCAAAAGAGATGAGGGCCTGGATTCTGGATTCTGGTTTCAGCTCTTCCATTTACTCAGTGTGCAACTGTAGGCAAATCACTTTCTTTTTGCACCTATGACTCCAAAGTTTCCTTTTGCATAAAATGGAAGGGAGACTGGGTAGTCTCTGGTGGCACTTCTAATATATAGATATAGACAATACAGATAGAGACATAGATCTGTATTTTACGAGGGCAGGGGATCATAAAATAATTTGCCAAAGGCCATTACATATATTGACATGGAATGTTACTGTACCTTGAAGTTCTTTTCAATCATAAAAACCTCAGAGTTGCATGTTTTTTAAGTCCAACTGTCTGTTGGATCTAGATCTACTAAGAGATCCAACAGAATATGGGGTTTATAAATTATAGTACTGATCACAGAAGAATAGGAAATTTAGCTCCAGTGGCCAGTGAGAACTACGCACAGAGGCACACCCCAGCTTTCACAGTTAGACGTTTCTGACAAAATATCATTAGCATGATGCCTGCAGTCCCTTCAAAATTTGATCCAAGTGAAAATGCTGACGTTTTTAAAATGCAAATCTGATTTCCTTTTCTTAGAACTTTGGAGTCAGTGACTCCTTACAACTTCTGCAACAAATATCCAATCCCTTTCCATAGTAAGTAAATGCTCTTATGGCTCCCTTCTATTAGTCCATTCCATCTAACTCAGATTTCCCCTACTTACCACCCTGTACACATACCCCACAGATCTGACTCTGCCATGGTGTTTCCTGCCTTCTTGCTTTAACCATGACATTCTCTTGGTTTGGGATGCACCTGCCCTCCTCCAGCCTCCCTTGCTTTTCAAAGTTCTAGTCTACTTTTAAAATCTGGCCAAATATTATCCTTCCTTTGGTCAAATATGATGCCTTCCCTAAATCTCTCTACCCAAACCTGGATTACCTGTCTCTCTCTTCTGGGTTTCTGTAACATCCCGTGCACATCTTGTAACATCTATTAGTACTGAGAAACCCTTTTCCAGAGAGTCAGAGAATCTCAGGGGAAGAAGAGAAATCCATGTCACGTTCTTCAACACATTAACAAGCTTCTCTGCACATTTCCTCGTAAGTCAAATCTCTGTGATTGCACACGTCTATAAAAGAGAAATTCACTACCTGCAGAGAAAGATCTTCCATCTTTAGGAAGATCTATTAAGACTTTCTTCTCTTAAATTTTGCCAAAATTTGCCTCTCTACCTTAATTTTTTAATTATTATCATGTACATATGCCAAGATAACATGGACTTTTAAAAAATTACCTTTTGGGGAACCTTTTGATTGAGAGCTCCTCTGAACATCAACTACTAATTTATTGCCTTTAGAAGGAGCTTGCAACCATTGAAATGTGACATTTAAAAAGAACAAGGGTTATCTTAATTAAAAATAAATTTTTTAAAATCAAAAGAAAAAAACTTTAAAGATCAAAACATAAATAAAAATAAAAAGAGTAAGGGCTCTCAATTCTCTAAGATATATACATGCTACCTATTAGGACAGTCATTAAATGGCCTGATTTAGGTATAAATAAACCAAGAATCAAATGCCACTGGTCTTAGCTATGAATTTTGCATGGGCATTAGATGTTAAACACCTGTTCTCATCCCCTCTGTTTCAGACACACTGACTTCCTTGCTCTTCTCTAAACAGGCCAGGCACACCCCAGCCTGAAGGTCTGTGCATTTGCTATTATTGCCTCCCTTACCCCAGATAACAATGTGGCTGGCGGCTGGCTCCCTCACTACCTTCAGATTTCTGCTCAAGTCACCTTATCAGTGAAGCATTCCCTGATCATCTTCTCAAAAATGACAGACAAACCCTCATTCCCAGCCCTCCTGCCCCCTTATCCTGCTGTTTTTCTCAATTGCATTTATCTCCACACATTCCCTTACATGACAGAACATAAATGTCCTTTTTATTTGTCTCTACTGGAATCCCAGAGAGCAGGGATTTTGACTGTTTAATACACTGCTGTATCTCCAACATAAAGAACAATATCTGGGACCTAACAAACACTCAATAAATACCTGTTGAATGAATGCATGACCTAGAGAAATCATTCTAGATTTTTTATGGCCTTGGTTTCTGTTTAATGAGAAGCTACCAGTGCTCTGACCCAATTAAAATGGAAGAAGGGAACTGGGGTTAAGAAAGGTTTTCTTGCACAAGGGACCTTTGAGTGGAGAGCCCAAGTATATGCGCTAACTAGTGTTGAGGGCAGAAAAGTGCAGTAAGTAACTTCCCAAGTGTTCTTTCTAATCCTCATGAAAACCCAGGAAATAGAAACTTTTTCTCCATTCCACAGATGAAAAACTGAGGCTTTGCAGTTATGTAACTCACACAGAGTAAGTGGGTTAAGTTGCAGAACTGAGTAACATTCAGCTCTCTCAAACTCCAATGACGAGTATTTCTTCTACTCTCCTGCATATCACAATTCTGACAGCATCCAGGCTGATCTTAAAGACACCCACTGCAGGGGTCACTGAGCATCAGCTTTGGCCCAGGTACATTCACTTGCGTGTGCTCATCCAAGCCTAACAGTAATGCTAAAAGATAGGAGCTGGTATTCATTTTAGAAATAAAGAAACTCAGGCTTATATAAAGCTTAGCTGATTTTTCTGTAAGAGCTGTCCCTCTGGGCATTCCTTTATTATGTTCTTATCACAGTATTGTATTTACTTCCGGTCTCACTCACTAAATCCCAAACTACTTCAGGACAGAACAGTCTAATCATTTTGTACACCCCGCACATGGGCCCAGCCTATGGTGAGTGTCCCCAAAATACCTGTAGGACTGAACTTAAGTTAACTGCTTAAAATACATGGATTTCTTGAAAAATTTGCTACCACATTATCCTTCCTTCCACGTGACCTCTTTAACTGTGAGATTTGAGGAGGACCAAACAATCTGTGCCAACTGTCCTCTCCACTTAGCGCTTTACCGTCTTCCATTTCCTCCTGGCCTGGAGTTCCCCTCAAGCCATCCCTTTGGCTTAAACATATACATAGGATCCAGTAACTCCAGAGGGTTGTTCTCTCTCACCATGTTACCCCATGCTGGATGTATCTGATTGGCATCTTGGGAGGTAAGAAGGCAGAAACGGGGTCCTGTGACACAACAGAGAGGGCATGGCTGTGGCATAGCCTGAGGTTGTCTAGTTAAGGAAGGGAGTATAGATGGACCCTGGGGATAAAGTAGTTCATTTTAAAAAGGTGGGGTGGGGGGGTTGGGGGTTGGAAAGCAGTAATCAGAACAAAAGTGGAGGAAAAGTTTGCTTCAATTTTCCTAGAAACCTAGTCATCGATATGTTATTTGAGATGTATCAGCTAATCTTTGTGAACCTGACTTTTTTTTCTGAACCCTTTTGTGTCTTTTGTCAATCAGCAGTTCATTTTCCACTTCACTGCCTAATTTAGGTAAGTGACATTCAAGTATTGCTGACACAAAACTACTCAATGTTGGCATATTCAGGGGCAGGGAAAGAGAAGTAGTAATCCTTCCCGCATTCCACATTTAATGAAAAATTGATATGCCACATCAAAGATGACATTTTACACACAGTATTGCTTACTTTGGGGAAGATGAGTAATGTTTCTCAAGTGCCTACTATATACTTGGCCTCTTAAAATTCCAGATAAATAGATGCTATCTTTTTAGGGAGGCTGTGGGACCCACATCAGTGATCTGGGATTTGACCATAAGTCTCTCTGATTATAAAGCTCATGCATTTTACATTACACCGCACAGCCTCTTGAAGTGTTTGGCAGCCAGATTACCCTAATTAAGACACAGTTAAATTGAACGTGATCATGTTGCAGTACACATACTAACTGAATCAAGGATGGGTCAACTGGAATATTGTTTGCTTTGCTATAAAATGGTGCACAAATTTCCACAGTGCCTGACACATTGTGTGCCCTTAATGCATGCTCAGTAAGTTGATTCTGTCAATAAAAGGGGACCATGTATTTTGTTGTTTGTTTTTGTGTATGGGTTCTAGCCATGGTGGCTACTTTAATTTCACTCTCACTTGGCAATTCAAATATATATTATAATCCACAAATATAAATTTGCTAAACTAAATAACAAATGAACATTATATAAACCCAGATTACAAGCTCCCAAAATATCCTTTGTCTACATTTAAAAAAAAGCCAACTTATAATAGGTATGTATTGTACCTCATCCAGTTTATGAGTAATTGAATATGAATTATGAATAATTATGCCAGAAGTTCTCAAACTCTTTTAGGTGGTAAATCATTTGAACATTAAGGAATTCTAAGTAGAGCACCAAGGACTGTGAATACCCTAAACTGAAAATGTCTAATTATAATTATGCACTACGTCAGATTCAATTTTATGCAAGATTACTATTAAGAAACAGTTGTTAATGGTTTGAAATAAAAACCATGGAAAATGGTTCAACATTAATATTCTATTAAACTGTTTTTCTCCCCTAGAAATTAGCAAAAGCCCTCCCACTATTCCAGCAGTATAACATTTTTGTCCAATTTCAGGATGACAGGAACCTAGGCTAAAAATGATTCTTTCAGCACCTAGTATTTTCTGGAAATCTGCATGAAATAAAATTGATATATATATTTGTTTGAGATACTAGAACATCTCACTAGTTTTTATTTCCTCACAGCTGAATTTCTTCCACAATGGAGACTTTTTGTTCTTTGATCCTTCCAACTTATGATTAAATTTTAATAAAACAGACTTGGGGATGCACCTGGATAATTAGGTAATTGTACGTAATTTGGAAAGCCCAGGATTGTATAAATCATACCTAATAATGGACTGTTTTGATCCTATCTTGACTCTAGAACTTAGGTCTCCGGAAATCCTTATCTATGATGATGTGGACATAAGTGAAAAGGAATCAAAGTAAGTCGATTTACCTCATTGGTCACCCTTGCTGATAGTTAATCCACTTCCTGATCCTAAATACGGTCAGAGGGCCATCTCTTCAGATCCTTGGAGTCTGGATGAAAGGTCAACTTGGGATATTCTCTCTACTAAGAAGGGAAAACAATGAATCACATAGATGATCTAACAGTGGTAGGCGAGTCAAGTCACCAAAGCTTTGGAATCTGTTTCTTGTCCTTGAACCTAAAGACTTGAAACTCACCTCAATACAACAAACACTTTTTAATAACCTCCTATGTACAAGGCAACAGGAAGGAGAGCAAGCACTATCTTACAGAACGTAGGTCCTCAAAGACTAAATAACTACAAACCATCAAAAAAAAAGAACCACCCTGAAACCCAGTGCCCGCTCCTGAGCTCCTTGTTACCTGTCCTTCCCTCTCAACTAAGGGGCTGAAAATAAAGGTCTCCTCTGCCCATCTTTGATTCATCCTTCCAAGCTCACTGCCGTTGGGCTTCTGTTCTATTATACCAGTGAACTTAGTTTTGGTTAAGGTCCCTAGAACTTCCTTGTTAATCCAGCAGATACCTTTAAGCCCTTATCTTACTTCGCTATGCTATACCTTAAACTGTTCACTATGCCACCCTTCAAAGGAGAAAAATACTAACTTTCTCCTAGGTTTGTATGTTATCATTATTTTTTATTCTGCCTTATTGGCTGTTGCTCTTCCTATCAGTTTCTTATTTTTGTATACATGGGAATTCTAATTCTGTCATTCATTTCCTAAAAATTGTATATTCCTCAGATTTCCTCTATCAGTTTTCTTCTGTTCTTTATATGTCCTTGAATGACCTCATCCACATATAGGACTTTAATTATAATCTTTAAGGTAATAATATCAGAAGTTATATTTTCAGATCAAATTTCTCTCTTCTACTCTAATAAGCCTCTGGGTAACTCTAGTTGAAACTCAAAATTCCATAATAACTCAGAATCTGAATTCTCCCCATCCAAATATGCTCCCTTTCTTCTAATCTCTATGTTGGTGATAGTTTCAGTCAACACAAAGTTGCCCAAACCAAAACCCTTAGGCACTGTCCTTGACTCCTCCTCTCCTTCCCTGCACCCCCTTCTGCTCCAACAACTCTCAAAATGCTCCTACTCCTCCATCCCCACTGCACAGGTACAGTGCAGGCCCTCATTGTTTCTCAGCTAGATTACTGCAGCAACTCTCTGAACCGTCTCACCATGTACTTCCACCTCCACTTTGTTGATTCTCCCAACTTCCTAAAATGCAAATGTGATAACCCACCACCCACTAGCTTAAAAATGTTCAGTGGTTGCCCACTGCTTTCTGAATAAAATTCAAACTGCTTAGGGAGACATAAAATTCATTCATGATCCAGCCCCTGGCAAGCTCTCAGACTCACATGTACATCCCACTCACCCACCATTCCAGTGTTCTGTCCATACTGTACTGCTTGGAGTTTCTTGAACTCAAGTTTTGCAGCATTTCTAAACCTTTAGATTTATTCCAACTTTGTTAATTCACTTAAGTATTTGTTGAGCCTGTACTGTGTTAGGTACTGCTAAGTATTGGGTATAAAGTAGTGAACAAAATGTGTAATTCTTATTCCTATCTGGAGAAACAAATGAATGAATCAAAAATAAACCTGTAATTACATATTGAAACTTGGTTGCTTTGGATATTCTGAAAGAGCGTGGACAGAGACTGTTGGGAGGAGACTGACAGTCATTTTAGAGTAGGTCGCTGGAGAAGTTCTCTCCAAGGAGGTGAGAATCTAGAAACAAAAGAATGGTGCTATCTGAAATCCACTTTGCCATGTTTTTTGCCTGGTTATCTATTTTATCATTATTTAAAACTGAATTCGGATTTTGTTTTCCTCAGGAAGCTCTCTCTGGCCTTATCTATTTGGGTTAGGTACTCATTTTTCTCAGAATATTTTTCTTACAGTTGTAGAGGACTTATTTCTTGCCTGTCTCCTTTAGATGGGAACTCCTGAGGTAGAGACTGTGGCTTTTGGATCTATATCATGTGTCCTCATCAGTTAATAAAAAAGCACCTGCTTAAAAAAAAAAATATGGAAGCTCAGAGTAGGCAGCCCTTTCCATTATTTTGGGGATCAGAGAAGTGTGCCAGCCGAAGCAGGAAGCATAGGTAACATTTTGACAAGGAGAGTGGGGATCAAGGAGAGAGAAAGGGTTGGGGTGGTAGACAACTGTGTAAATGAAGAACACGTATTTGGGAAGGTTCATTGGACCTTAAGGAAAAAAGGTGTTTGTTACAAGGAGGAAATGTAATTTGGCATGAGATGGTGGAGGTGTTAGAAGAGGAAATATAATTTGCCCTGGAATATCAAATTAGAGTTAAGAATGAATTCTTTCTCTTAAAAATTATAGGGTATTTGTGCAAATTAAAAGAAAAGAAGAAACATATTAAGTTGGAAAGCCTGATAAATTCCCCTGAACTCATCCTCAGCTTCAGAGTTAGAACACAACCATGCCTTGGCTTCTCCACCTGGCACCCGTCCCCAGCCTGTCTCACTGCCCTTCCCCCGAGGTACACACTCTCCTACATTTTGTGTCTTTCATTTCCTATTCAAAACTTAGAGTGTTATCTAACACAGATGATAAAAACATATGGTTTCATTTGGGATTTAAACATTTATAAAAACAGTATCATGTTATATATTCTTCAGTTTTTAAAGTAAAATCCATATTTTTTAGCATTCATTCTATAATAATTCTATTGTGAGTGTGTGTATGTGTGTTTGTGTATATATATCCCCCAATTTATCCATTCTCTTTAGTGGGTACTGGGGTAGTTCCAAATTTTTTGTACTTATAATACTGCAATAAATATTCATGTCTCCTGTGAGCACATACAAGAATTTTTCTTGGAGATATATATACTTAGAAGGGTAAAGAAATGCAACTTATATAGGAATGCAAATTTATAAGAAAATGCCAATAAGCTTTCCAAAGGAGTTGTAACTACCAATTCATACTCTTCCCAAGCAGTACTAAAGGGAATGATCCACATTCTCACCAGTGCTAAGCACAGAGTTCTTAATTTTTGCCAATTGCATAGCTTTAAAATATTATCTCATTGTGGCATTAATTGCATTACCTTCATTACCAACAGGTTGAAACCCTTTTAATAAGTTTGCTCACCACTCACGTCTTTCCTTCTGTAGAAGGCCTGTTCATGTTTTGCCTGTTTTTCTATTGGATTTCTGGTCTTTTTCTTATTCATTTAAAAATGGATATTTTATGCACATCTAGATACTGTTTTCTCAGTTATGTGTTACAAATACCTTCTTCCATGTTGTAGCTTGCCTTTTCAACTTGCTTACTAATCTTATAATAGAAATTCTCAATTTTAATGTATTGAATTTATCAATTGATTATTGCGTATCTTTTAAAGAAGTCTTTATCCCAAGATCATGAGATATTCTCCTGTTTTCTTCTAAAACTGTTAGAAGAAAATGCCTTCTACACTTAAACCTTAGATCTGGAACTGATTTTTGTATTTATAGTGAAGTAGAGATACAATTAAATTTTATTCCATATGGATAAATGTCCTAGCATGATTAATTGAATAGTCCCAACTTTCCCCACTAATCCACAATGCCATCTTTGTCATACCAAATTTCCATCTGTCTGACGGTCTATCTCCATGATCTCTTTTCTGTTCCACTGTCATTTCTATCCTCTTTGCATCGTGGTCTGAAAAAGTAGGTAATATATTAGTAAACTAAGAAAGTAGTTGGTATCAATACCGTGACATGTTCTGACACATGATTCATGCCTAGCATATGGTCAGTTTTTGTAAATGTTCCATGCACATGTTAGAAAAATACAATTTCTCTAATTTTCTGGTACAAGGCTCAATTTATGTCCTTTAAATCAAGTACATAATTGTTAAAATCTATAGATTTATGAATTTTTAGATGTTTCATCCAACAATATGTGAAAGAAGTGGTTGAAAGCCCACACAAAGGTGGAGGATTTGCTGGTTTCTTCCAAAAGTGCCATCATTTGCTGTATATATTCTGAGGCTCTTTTATTAGTTGCATGAAAATTTAAGATATCTTCTACTGAATTGACTGTTTCTTCATTAAGTTGCAGCCATTCCTATCTTAATACTATTAATAACAAATAGTATCATGTAGCTCTTACTGTGGGTCAGTCACTGTTCATACATATATGTATGCATTCAATCTTCAATAATCCTGTGAAGTAGATATCATTCCAAATTTTATAGATGACATACTGAGGCCCAGAAGTTGAGTTACTTACTTTAGCAAGCTCACACAAGTCAGAAGTGGTGGAACCGGGATTCATATCCAACCAACATGGACTCCCAATGTATTCCTTTTACTACTACACTATGCTTTATCTCCTAGTGATGCACTTTGTTTTAAAGTTTAATTTGCCTGATATTATATATCTATCTAACCTTTCATTTAGTATTTCCACAGTATACATTTTGATCCTTTAATTTTCTGTTTTCCACATTCTCATTCACTGTGTCTTGTATAAACAGCATGAAGAGCTGAATTTGCCTTTAAAAAAAAAATCCATTATGACAATCTGTCTTACCTCCTACCTTGCCCTTGACCTGAAGTTCAATCTTCTGAAATACTGTGGTGCTAATAAGCATTCTCCTCAGGACAAACTTGCCTTCTGTGTTTGCACACTGCTTATTGCTTTCTTGCTGGTTTCAGCTTACTTGGTGGAGGCTATTAGGGTACTATGTGCCGTACTTTAAAGTATAGCAATTTGTTAAAACAAAGTACTTTTATTCAGGATCTAGCAGTTTTGTATTAGGAGGGCCCTTTCAGAATATTCTGCCCTACTGCCAAGAGAGAAAGTCCAGAACTCTGAGCAAGATGACAATATAATCAGAGCCACACTTTAGGAAGAGTAATTGGACCCTTCTGCAGAATGCTTTGGAGGGGAAGTCTGAGTAGAATACCATTACAATCGCTCAGGTGAAAGATCAACATGTGTTCTGGGTGATGAAAGAAATGAAGGAGAGCAAATACTTGAGAACATACGTGGATTTGATTAAATTATGAAATCCTCAGGAAGAAATCATATTTTCTTCATCTTTATTATCCAGCTTCTAATAATAGCACTTAAGACATACTATGAACCCAAGGCATATCTTATGAATATTTACCAAATTACATGGCCCTATCAAAGTCTTACCAATTTCTTTTCCATGGGATAGTGTAAATCTTCCATAGTTTGGCCTCCAAGACACCAATTATAAAAGGCATTTGTAGCAGATAGAACATGGATAGAAAGGAGAATTTGGAATGGAAAGGGAGAGATGATATCTGAGTTCTCACAAGCTTGGCTAGTTTGCATGGCATGCCTTTATACTTTGAGGACCTGCCTAAATACCTCTGGATGTAATTGCTGCTAGGTAATGCAAACCTATGCTTTGCACTTCCTTCCGTTCATTAGAGTATCCCCTAGAAAGGCAGCAAGGGGAGGAAGAAGAGCAGGACCTTGAAAAGGAACACTGGAACAGCTTCTACAACCTAGCACCAGTGGGACCTGCAGCATGTTACCTACTCTTTAATTTACAATTTTTAAAATTAAGGTATTACTGATATACACTCTTATGAGGTTTCATATGAAAACCAATGTGGTTACTACATTCACCCATATTATTGTGTCCCACCTATACCCCATTGCAGTCACTGACCATCAGTATAGAAAGATGCCACAGAGTCACTACTTGTCTTCTCTGTGCTACACTGTCTTCCCCATGATCCACCCCATACCATGTGTGCCAATCATAATACCCCTCAATCCCCTTCTCCCTCCCTTCCCACTTGCCCGTCCCCACCCCTTCCCTTTGGTAACCGCTAGTCCCTTCTTGGACTCTGTGAGTCTGCTGCTGTTTTGTTCCTCCACTTTTGCTTCACTGTTATACTCCACAAATGAGGGAAATCATTTGGCACTTGTCCTTCTCTGCCTGGCTTGTTTCACTGAGCATAACATCCTGCAGCTCCATCCATATTGTTGTAAATGGAAGGATTTGTTTCTTTCCTAAGGCTGAATAGTATTCCATTGTGTATACGTATCATATCTTCTTTATACATTCATCTACTGATGGACACTTAGGTTGCTTCCATATCTTGGCTATTGTAAATAGTGCTACAGTAAACATAGGGGTGCATATGTCTTTTTGAATCTGAGAACTTGTATTCTTTGGGTAAATTCCTAGGAGTAGAAATCCCAGGTCAAATGGTATTTCTATTTTTAGTTTTTTGAGGAACCTCCATATTGCTTTCCACAATGTTTGAACTAGTTTACATTCCCACCAGCAGTGTAGGAGGGTTCCCCTTTCTCCACATCCTTGCCAGCATTTGTTGTTCTTAGTCTTTTCGATGTTGGCCATCCTAACTGGTGTGAGGTAATATCTCACTGTGGTTTAATTTACATTTCCCTGATAATTAAGGATGTGGAGCATCTTTTCATGTGTCTATTGGCCATCTGAATTTCTTCTTTGGAGAAGTGTCTGTTCATATCTTCTGCCCATTTCTTAATAGGGTTATTTGCTTTTTGGTTGTTGAGGTGTGTGAGTTCTTTATATATCTTGGATGTTAAATCCTTGTTGGATATGTCGTTTATCAATATATTCTCCCATACTGTAGGAAGACTTTTTGTTCTGCTGATGGTGTCCTTTGCCGTACAGAAGCTTTTTAGTTTGACGTAGTCCCAATTGTTCATTTTTGCTTTTGTTTCCCTTTCCCAAGGAGATGCATTCAGGAAAAGTTGCTCATGTTTATAGTCAGGAGATTTTTGCCTATGTTGTTCTCTAAAAGTTTTATGGTTTCATGACTTATATTCAAGTCTTTGATCCATTTCAAGTTTTCTTTTGTATATGGGGTTAGACAATAATCCAGTTTCATTCTCTTGTATGTAGCTGTCCAGTTTGCCAAAACCAGTTGTTGAAGAAGCTGTCATTCCCCCATTGTATGTCCATGTCTCCTTTGTCGCATATTAATTGACCATATATGCTTCAGTTTATATCTGGGCTCTCTAGTCTGTTCCATTGGTCTATGGGTCTGTTCTTGTGCCAGTACCAAATTGTCTTGATTACTGTGGCTTTGTGGTAGAGCTTGAAGTCAGGGAGTGTAATCCCCCCAGCTTTATTCTTCCTGCTCAGGATTGCTTTGGCTATTTGGGATCTTTTGTGGTTCCATATGAATTTTAGAACTATTTCCTGTAGTTTGCTGAACAATGCTGTTGGTACTTTGATAGGAATTGCATTGAATCTGTAGATTGCTTTAGGCAGGATGACCATTTTGACAATATTAATTCTTCCTATCCATGAGCACGGGATGTGTTTCCATTTATTGGTATCTTCTTTAATTTCTCTCATGACTGTCTTGTAGTTTTCAGGGTATAGGGCTTTCACTTCCTTTGTTAATTTTATTCCTAGGTATTTTATTCTTTTTGATGCAATTGTGAATGGAATTGTTTTCCTGATTTCTCTCTCTGCTAGTTCATCATTAGTGTATAGGAATGCAAAGGATTTCTGTGTATTAATTTTGTATCCTGCAACTTTGCTGAATTCAGATATTAATTAGATCTAGTAGTTTTGGAGTAGATTCTTTAGGGTATTTTATGCACATCATATCATCTGCAAACAGTGATAGTTTAGCTTCTTCTTTACCAATATGGATGCCTTTTATTTCTTTGTGTTGTCTGATTGCCATGGCTATGACCTCCAGAACTATGTTGAATAGAAGTGGGGAGAGTGGGCAAACTTGTCTTGTTCCCGATCTTAAAGGAAAAGCTTTCAGCTTCTCGCTGTTAAGCATGATGTTGGCTGTGGGTTTGTCATATCCAGCCTTTATCATGTTGACATACTTACCCTCTATACCCATTTTGTCGAGAGTTTTTATCATGAATGGATGTTGAATTTTGTCGAATGCATTTTCAGCATCTATGGAGATGATCATGCAGTTTTTCTCCTTTTTTGTTGATGTGGTGAATGATGTTGATGGATTTTCTAATATTGTACTATCTTTGCATCTCTGGAATAAATCCTACTTGATCATGATGGATGATCTTTTTGATGTATTTTTGAATTTGGTTTGCTAACATTTTGTTGAGTATTTTTGCATGTATGTTCATCAGTCATATTGGTCTATAATTTTCTTTTTTTGTGGTATCTTTGCCTGGTTTTGGTATTAGAGTGATGCTGGCCTCATAGAATGAGTTTGGAAGTATTCCTTCCTCTTCTACTTTTTGGAAAACTTTAAGGAGGATGGGTATTAGGTCTCCACTAAATGTTTCATAAAATTCAGTGGTGAAGTCATCTGGTCCAGTGGTTTTGTCCGTAGGTAGTTTTTTGATTACCAGTTCAATTTCATTGCTGGTAATCGGTCTGTTCAGATTTTCTGTTTCTTCCTTGGTTAGCCTTGGAAGGTTATATTTTTCTAGAAAGTCATCCATTTCCTCTAGATTTTCCAGTTTGTTAGCATATAATTTTTCATAGTATTCTCTAATAATTCTTTGTATTTCTGTGGTGTCCGTAGTGATTTTTCCTTTCTCATTTCTGATTCTATTTATGTGTGTAGACTCTCTTTTTTTCTTGATAAGTCTGGCTAGGAGTTTATCTATTTTGTTTATTTTCCAAAGAACCAGCTCCTGCTTTCATTGATTCTTTCTATTGTTTTATTCTTCTCTATTTCATTTCTGCTCTAATCTTTATTATGTCCCTCCTTCTACTGACTCTGGGCCTCATTTGTTCTTTTCCTAGTTTCATTACTTGTGAGTTTAGACTGTTCATTTGGGATTGTTCTTCTTTTGTGAGGTAGGCCTGTATTGCAGTATACTTCCCTCTTAGCACAGCCTTTGCTGTGTCCCACAGATTTTGTGATGTTGAATTATTTTTGTCATTTGTCTATATATTGCTTGATCTCTGTTTTTATTTAGTCATTGATCCACTGGTTCTTTAGGAGCATATTGAAGCCTCCATGTGTTTGTGGGACTTTTTATTTCCTTTGTGGCCTGAGAAACTGGTTGGTACAATTTCAATCTTTTTGAATTTACTGAGGCTCTTTTTTGTGGCCTAATGTATGATCTATTCTTGAAAATGTTCCATGTGCACTTGAAAAGAATGTGTATCCTACTGCTTTTGAGTGGAGTGTTCTGTAGATGTCTGTTAGGTCCATCTGTTCTGTAGATGTGTTAGGTCCATCTATTCTAATGTGTTGTTCAGTGCCGCTGTCTCCTTACTTCCTTTCTGTCTAGTTGATCTGTCCTTTGGAGTGAGTGGTGTGTTGAAGTGTCCTAAAATGAATGCAATGCATTCTATTTCCCCCTTTAATTCTGTTAGTATTTCACATATGCAGGTGCTCTGGAGGATATAACCATTATAAATATCTATGTACATAGATATTTATAATGGTTATATCCTCTTGTTGGACTGACCCATTTATCATTATGTAATGTCCTTTTGTCTATTGTTACTTTCTTGATTTTGAAGTCTAGTTTGTCTGATACAAGTACTGCAACTCCTGCTTTTTCCTCCTTATTAGTTGCATGAAATATATTTTTCCATCCCTTCACTTTTAGTCTGTGTATGTCTTTGAGTTTGAAGTGAATCTCTTGTGGGCAGCATACAGATGGGTCGTTTTTTTAATCCATTCAGTGACTCTATGTCTTTTGATTGGTGTATTCAGACCATTTACATTTAGGGTGATTATCGATAGGTATGTACTTATTGCCATTGCAGGCTTAGATTTGTGGTTACTAAAGGTTCAAGGGTAACTTCGTTACTATCTAACAGTTTAACTTAACTCACTTAGTATGCTATTGCAAACACAATCTAAAGGTTCTTTTTTTCCCTCCTTTTTCTTCCTTCTCCATTCTTTATATAATAGGTATCATATTCTGTACTCTTTGTCTATCCCTTGATTGCATCTGCTTAGTAATTAATTCTTCTTTCTTTACTGTGGTTTTATTTCCTCTGGTTACAGCTATTTAGCCTTAGGAACACTTCCATCTATAGCAGTCCATCCAAAATACACTGTAGAGACAGTTTGTGGGAGGTAAATTCTTTCAGCTTTTGCTTATCTGGAAATTGTTTAATCCTTCCTTCAAATTTAAATGATCATCTTTCCAGGTAGAGTACTCTTCATTCCAGATCCTTCTGCTTCACTGCATTAAATATATCATGCCACTCCCTTCTGGCCTGTAAGGTTTCTGTTGAGAACTCTGATGACAGCCTGATGGGTTTTCCTTTGTATGTGATCTTTTTTCTCTCTCTGGCTGCTTTTAAAAGTCTGTCCTTATCCTTCATCTTTGCCATTTTAATTATTGTATGTCTTGGTGTTGTCTTCTTTGGGTCCCTTGTGTTGGGATATCTGTGGACCTCCATGGCCTGAGAGACTATCCCCTTCCCCAGATTGGGGAAGTTTTCAACAATTACCTCCTCAAAGACACTTTCTATCCCTTTTTCTCTCTCTTCTTCTGGTACCCCCATAATGCGAATATTTTTCTGTATGGATTGGTCACACAGTTCTCTCAATATTCTTTCATTCCTACAGATCCTTTTTTCTGTCTGTGCCTCAGCTTCTTTTTATTCCTCTTCTCTGATTGATATTCCACTTACCATCTCCTCCACTATATCTAATCTGCTTTTAAATCCCTCCATTGTATGTTTCATTTCTGATATTGTATTCTGTAATGTATGAATATCTGTCTGGAATTCTTCCCTGAGTTCTTAAATATTTTTCTGTACCTTCATGAGCATGTTTATGATTTTTATTTTGAAATCTTTTTCAGGAAGATTGATGTGTTCAGTTTCACTTGACCCTTTTTCTGGTGTTTGTGGGATTTTGGTTTGAACCAGGTTCCTTTGACATTTCATATTTGTATGTAGCACCCTCTAGTGCCCAGAAGCTCTACTCTCTGGTGCTCCTCAGCCCCTGGAGCGATGAGGGTTGCAGGGGAGTGGCTCTGGTGCCTGTGGGAAGGAATGAGCTGTTTCCTGCTTCCTGGCTGCTATGCCTGTCTCCACAGCCAGAACCAGTGGGCTGAGCCCACAGGTGTAAGCCTCTATGCTTTGTGTTTGTACCTGCTGTAGGCAGGGCTTCCTTCTGGCTGGCCTGATGCCAGGGCAAGGGCTGCCGGTGTGCGAGGGAACATCTGAAGCTCCTGAAAGTTCCCAACCTGCTGGGCAGAGTGTGCCTGGTCAATTTTGTTCACCTATCCTTTCTCCTGTACAGTAAGCTCTGTGAAATCCTTGCCCCTTTAGCAGCCCTCTCACTGTTAGGAAGTTGCTCAGACTGCCTGCCTTTCTTTTGTCCCAGAGCAGCCAGATGTGGGTTCCTGTTTTTCACAAGTGGCTGTAATCTGTCTCCAGGTATTCCGCCTGTCTTAGCTCTCCAACCCCACTAATCACCAGAGCACCATGCAATGTAGGTCCATGGTTCCAGAGCAGATTTCCAGGGCTGGGTGTTCAGCAGTCCTAGGCCTCCACTCCCTCCCCGCTCCATTTCTCTTCCTTCCATTGGTGAGCTGGGTTGGGGGAAGGGGTTGGGCCCCACCGGATCATGGCTTTGGTATGTTACCCTGTTTCATGAGGTCTGTTCTTTTCTCCAGGTGTATGCAGTCTGATACAGCCTTCTTTCCTGTTGTTCTTTCAGGATTAGTTATATTAATTATATTTTCATATTATATGTGGTTTTGGGAGGAGGCCTCTGTCTCACCTCTCACACTGCCATCATCTTTAATCTTCTCCCTACGATTAGCCTTCTTTTTTTTGCATTTCCCTGATGACATATGATGTAGAACATCTTTTCATATGCTTATTTGCATCTGTATTTCTTCTTTGCTGAGAGGTCTGTGAAGGTCTTTGGCTCTTTTTTTTTTCTTTTCGATTAGCCTTCTTAACCTGTGATATGGCAATAGCAATCCTCATCCTGCCAAATTCTTTAAGCACTACAGTTAGATCCCTAGAAAAGCTAAAAGAAGTTGACAAAGAGACAGAGTTGACCATAATGTTCACATGACTAGCATGGGTGTAAGTGGCATGACGTTTGTGAAAGAATGATCTGGCAATATTTTCCTAAAATGCCCATACCCTTAACCCAGTAATTCCACTTCAAAACAATTAGATCTAGTAAAAAAAATAAAGGAAATACAGAACAATTTTATTGAAAAAATGTCTATCAGGGTTATTTAATAAAAAGAGGTGTTTAAAACCACCCAGCTATCCAAATATACAGGAATTCAGTAAGTACATTATAGTACAGGACTCATCATGACCATTTAAATATACGTTAGATATATACTATAGTTTCCAGTAACTGGAGGAATGCTTATACTACTATAATGACAACTGAAAAATAGAAGGATGCAAAATTGTAGAGTATGATCTCATTTGTTTTTAAAAGTGATTGAAAAAATGTTTAGAAAGAAACTTGGATGTCTTTGAGAAGTAAGATTGTTATTTCTTTTTTCTACTTCTCCCCATTTTTGAAATACTTAGGATTGTTGCAATGCTTACAGTGGAAACTAAATAAGTTAACATATGTAAGGTGCCTCGCATAAGATTTGACAACATAGGTTCTCAAGAAGTGTTAATTCCTTCTATATACCATCTCCTCTCCTTGCATCCTTTCTACTGATGTTAAATAAACACTAGTTGGATTAGTCTAGTGATGAAAGTTAACATTATTATTCACATTTTAGTGATGAAGAAACTGAGGCTCAGAAAGGAAATGAAGTGTGATTATGAGCAGACTGATCTCCTGCTTCTCATTTCAAATTTGGCTTGACCAGATTAGGGGTCAACGATATGGCCTGTGGGCCAAATATGGCCAGCTGTTATTTCTTAAATCTGGTTACCACAGCAGCGTTGAGTAGTTGCCATAGAAATGATATGTCTTGCAAAGCCTAAAATATTTACTGTCTGGCCTTGCCATAGATTATCAAAATATACTTCTAGATGACTTTTTCTTAATAAAATATAATTGCCCAGAGAGTACTGATGGTTTCCATAAATGTTTTAGCTCAGTCTTATTTTATTTGCTCAAAATATTTTTCTCCTCAGAGAAGAAGATAAACTAAAAACTTGGAAGCCCAAATTTTTGATGCTAAAGGAAAAAAAAGAGAAAAAAGGTGAAGAATCAGAAAGGTAGGCACCCAGGTACACTTATACTACAGCTTTTCTGTGGCAATTTATATCTTTTACTAGTTGTGTGACCTTAGGCAAGTCATTAAATTTGACTTTCAGGTTTCTCACCTATAAAAGGAGAATTAACACCTACATCATAGAACAGTTGAGAGGATGGAGAGAAGCAAAGAATAAAAAAATGTAAAGTGCCACACATATTTATCTTCATTGCCATCATCATCATCTTCATGCTTACTTTTGGTGGTTAGGGAGCAAGGAAAGAGTTCAAGCCAGCCTTTATCAAATGATGAAAAACTTCCCATCTTCTTTTAGGCTGTAAGAAATTTTCCTTATAAGGTGGAACTTAAATAATATACTAACTAGAACTTAAATGAAACTTTCAGAAACTAGGATCATATAATGATTGATTTTCCAACAGTTCTAGTTATGACTACATTAGTGCTGTAATTAAAAAGAATGCTTTATTGACTCAAGATTTAACCTTCGTTCATGAGATTCAGATTCAGATTCCCGGATGGCTGTCGGGGAGGTGTTTTTTACTGTCTCAGATGGTCACTTAGTGCTCTGTACTCCAGTCTTCTCAATTGCTGGAACATGGGCCAGGAGCTGAGGTACTTTGTTTAACAAGTGTCTTGGGGAAAATCCTTGTCTAAATAGTCAATGAACTGGGAACACTGTGTGGTCTCTCTGCTCTGGGAAACCTGTCTAGAAAAGTCCTACAGGAACACCCCAAAAGAAAGCAGACATTAGTCTATACCAAATTTAAACTCAGGGGATGGCACAGATGGCCCTTCTCTAAGTTTATTTTCTTTGGGGTTAGACTTGATGTAATTTATTTTTCCCAAGTCAGAAAGATGTAGTCACAGACTGGAAAAGCATCTTTCCACCTTAAACTTCATACTTTTACATACTTTTGCATAGCACAGCAAAACAATTCAGAGAGGAAATATCAGTGAAATTTTTGACACCCCTTCCAAAAGAAGTTTTTAGTATTTTAGTGACTACACTAAGTCCTTTTAGGAGCAGTTTTACAGTGCTCTTCTATTTCTTATATCAAACTTGATATTATAGCATACTTTTATTCTCAACAGGGAAAATTTGGAAATGTGATATTGAGGTTATCATTCTTCCTGTAGGCTGATGTATCTATTGATTTCTATGTGCTCTTTGTTCCTTTCTAAATGGTTTCTACCATAAATTATTCTATGAAAAAGTAAGAAATTCCTTGTACCCTTTTATTATTCCTTAATTATTCAAAGATGATAACAAGTTTTTGGAGAAACTGGGAAAGATATCCAGGGATAAAGGCACAATGATGACAGCCTCCCTTCTCAGATGTGCCATGGAAGCTCTGTGTGTGTATGGAAAAGGGCACCTAGAATGGTTGAACTGGGGCCAGATTATAAAATGCCCTCTGCACCACACTAAGGAATCTGACTTTATCTTACAGGCAGTAGAGACAGATTGAAAGGTTTTAAGCAAGACAGTGACATGACAAATTAAATTTAGAAAGATGATGCTGGAGGCAGGTATACAGATAGATACAAGGAAGGAGAGACAAGCAGATGATGGTACTTCAGGCAAGAAGTGAAATATGACAGTGGCTGTAATCTTGGACAGAACAGAACAGATGTAGGAGATACTTCGGAATATAACTGGCAAGACCAGCTTGATTTTATTCCTTCTGTTAATAAATTTCCAAAAAGCAGCACCAACCCCCAGGTGAGGAGCAGAGGGAAAGGAGTCCGACTGTAATCAGCCTCTGCTGTGGGTCATCAACTTGTATGTGCTAAGAAATTTATGTATTTTGTAGTATTCTGCTTGACTTTCTTAACTCCTGCCTTCTCCAAAATCATTCAGCAAACAGGACAGTTCTTTGAGGCACAGAGTTTTGTAACTTAAAAAAAAAATTATGCTTCTAAGTCTGATTCAGAGAGGTTTAACATGAACTGTTTAGACAGTCTGGCTTTATTCCAAATTATTATTTTGCCATCCAAATTATTATCTTGTTATATTCAGAAGTATCGCCTACAAAGAATTTAATTGTAGGGAAAAGCAATCGGTATTACTCATTGTGTTCAGTTGTTTTAACAATCTGCTCTAGTGGCAATAAGTGTGTGTATGATGCACATACATACATGCATACAAACGCAAACCCACACATATACTATATATATATATATATGATTTTATATAAATTATACACACACACCAAATTATATTTGAATTTATCCTAAATAGGATGAGTTTCTAGATTTGGAAATTTAGTTCTATTATAGTACACTTAACCCTACCTGCATATTTGTTGTCACTCTTATCTCCTAGAAATTTCTTCAGAACCAAGAAGCAAAACTTAGAAAAGACCAGAATGAAAAGAGAAGAAAAACTTTTTAGAGAAAGATTTGAGGTATGTTCTCCTCTGAAGGTAAAAATTAGCAGTATTAAAAGCTTAAGAATTCTATTTGTAAAGATTCTTTAAGTGTGTTGCACCTTTGCCTCTCTCGGATAGACATATTTGACTAAATAGCTGGTAATTTTTTCTCCTGATACATTTCTGTATTATTATGCCTTTGTACTTGCTGTTCCCTCTGCCTGGAATACTCCTCAAAGTTGTTCTTTAAGGTGCTTTTCAAATGTCACCCACTCTTCTTAACTCCCCCAGGCCATAGTTACTCCCTCAGCATATTTTATGTATCTTCTATAACACTGATCAATTGTGTTAGAATATGTGTGTATCCTGAACTGTATGTGAGTCCCCTTTGAAGGAGAGATTGTATCTCATTCAAATTTGCTGCCCAGCTAAGATAAAACTGGACAGTGTTCAGTGAGGAATAAATGAACCAGCATCTGAAGCTCCTTGACTACTTCGGTTATTGGGTCCATGGAGCATTTTTCCATAGCTCCAAAGTCCAAAAGATCCTCCTTTCTGATTTCATATATTGTCACCATAAGAATTTATAAATTTAAGAAACATACACTGAACACCTCTCATGTACCAGACACTGGATTGAGGGAGATAAAGTGTGCAGCTTGTTTGTAAAATTTTTAATGTGTCCAAGTCACTACTCTGCCTAAAATCTTCCACAAGTTTCCTCATTGCCAAATGGATAAAGATTGGGCTTTTTAATATGGTATATGAAGCTCTTCATATCATGACCTTTGTTGGTCTTCCTGGTTTTATTTCCTGCCATTCTGCCCCTTGCACTCTGGCAACAAACTGCTCGTAATTCTGCCCATCAGTGAATATCCATCTTTATCCCTGTCCTCCTATTTCCTTCCTCTGGGTGTTTACCTGGTGTGCTCCAACTGTCTCATCTACTCTTGCTACTTTTCTCCATTTGATTAGCTCTTGTTCATTTATTTGACCCAGTTAAGCAGCTCCTCTTCTCCAAGAAGATGCACATTTGCTGAGTAAAGAAATTACTCTTCTTCTATATATCTATATACCTGAGCAAACCTCTAGATTATCACTACATTAATTATGTGCTCATCTGTTAAACCATGAGCTCTAAGAACAAGGGTTATCTTTATATCCGTGTGCAGAGAAGAATAAAGACTACCTTTATAAGCATCCAAAAATGTTTTTGGACTGAGCTAAAATAGGAATATAAACAAATCCCTCATAACTAATAATTCCTGCTTGGACCAAAGCTGTTTAGTGGTACTATATCCAGAAATTGTGATATGAAATTACTTACTGCCAATAACAGTATGACAATCACTTGTTGGAAAGACCCCATGTTCCTTCTAGTGCTTTTTCTCCCCCACTATGTTTGTGACTCTCTCTGTGGGACAGAAATTCCCACTCTGGTATATGTATAATTCCATTCTTCTTTATTACCTGAGGTGTGTTTCCTTTATATACCACTAGAAAAACTATGCCATTTTAGTAATTTTTGTTCAGGTCAAATCACAAAACAATGGGTACCTCATTAGTACCAGGTATTGAGATATGAAGATGAATAAACTGTCTTCCATAGTCATTTGATAAGACAGTATGTTTATTAAATGCTAAATAGTAGTATATACAAAGTGCAGTTGAAACAGTATAATTTACTGTAGCAGTCATGAAAGTCTTCATGCAAAGTGTTAGACAAAAAGGTATGTTAGGCAGAGAAAGCAGCATGAGCAATGGCATGGAACTATGAAAGTTATGTGGTATATTCAGGATTACCACATAGCTTGGCATGGCTTCCATAAAGGGGACAGAAATGGGGACTGGAGGAATGATGGTATGTAAAGGACCTTGAATGTCAAGCTTAGGGATGGGGATATTTAGAACTTTATAAAAAAGAAGGTGACTTACTCATTTGCATTTTAAGAAAGCAGTATGTACTCACAATGAACAACGGTCTGGAAAGGATAAGAAATGGCAAGAAACCTGTGAAGCTATTACTTCATTAGGCAAAAGAAAAATCTGTCTTGTAGACCAGATCCCATTTGGTACAGGGTGCTCTTACAATGTATTATCCACATTCAGAACACTTTTGAGAGTGAAAGGAGGCATACCTAATCATAAGTATCTGTGACTAGGAACATTAGCTATAAATAAGAGACTGACCTGAACTGGTGAAGTAGATATCTGAAAATATAAGCTACATATTCTAGAATTTTCCCTCCATCAACAGATTTGAATACATTAGAAGGTGATGTACCTGTAGGTGTATAGGCTGGCTCATTTATCACACAGAAAAAAACTCCCTTCATGTCATATACTGAATTTCTCATGTTTTTCTGAAATGACTGTGTTTGACCACAAAAACAGAGTGGGAATTGCTCCCCACAACTACTTGAAAATGTGTGTGCTATAGCTCTATGTAAGAATAAATAAGCCCACCCAGAGGAAGGGTGGAGGAAAAGTGCCATCTAGGAATACTAGGTATGTAAGAACATAAACTCTAAAGCACTACACAAAAAACTTCGTCTTTTTCCTGCTTTTTTAAACTTTTCTTTTCCTAGGTTTGGTGATAACTTTATTACTGGAAGACCATTACTTAATTTAAGTTTATACCCATGTTACAGCCTTCTCATCCATCACAATTCATTCCAGTATAGTTAGATAATGGGTGTGAAAACACTTTGAAAATATGATGGTACCAAATGTAAGATTGTGGCATTTTATTACTATCATAAATTTCTTTTCACTATCTTGCTATTTTGTGTCCTTAGGTGTAATTTAATTAATACCTAGCATCTTGAGTTTGAGTTTACTATATTATCTCAATTTTGTTATGTAATGAAAAAGAATAAAAACGATGCATTGTCTGATTAGTAATTTCTCATTTCAGTATGACAAAGATATTACTGTCATTAACACAGCAGTGGTGTGTTCCAATAATTCAAGGAATGGAATATTCGACTTGCCAATAACTCCTGGAGAAGAGGTAGAAGTCATCGATATCACCAAAGAAGATCTAGTGATATGTCGCAATTCTAAAGGCAAATGTAAGTTATTAGCTTACTGCCCATGAAGTTTCAGTTTAAAAAAAACTCTAAGCATTACTCTGTAACTTTCAAATGAGTAATAGTGAATTTTTGTTTCTATAGATGGATATGTACTAATTGAACATCTAGATTTCAAGTAAGTGCTTTGACTTTATACTTCAAATCCTGAACTTTAAATATTTAATACACTGCCATGTACATTATTAGACTCAAGGGAAGAGTACTGAATTTAAATTGAGGGACAGTTTTAAGGATTATTTTGGAAGAGATTTATTATTATGTCTCCTGAGTATGTTATAAACTTTTCTACAAAGCATATTTGTAAAAATATTAAACTGGATAAGAAATTCCATGGAAATGTCCTGCTCACTTCTTCACAGGCCTATATTTCAAAATGTATGTTTTTTGTTTTTTCCTCAGGCATGAAGGTTGGTTGCCTTAGGAAAATCAAGAGCAAATAGTACGGCCTACATGAGCGAGAACTCACTCTTAAGATCTTAGTCCTGCCTCACAGCAGTTTACATGTCCAAATGAGATGTTGGAAACTTTCATTAGGAATTTAGAAAAACAAAAACAAATCCTCCACATTTAAATGTTGGTTTTACTCCTAAATGGTTATCTTTCACTGTCTATTTCAGTATCTGTTTCATTGCTGGCTCAAGAAAATGTGAAACAGTGTGTTAGCATTTCAGCACTTGTTTAATGAGCCATATCCAAAGTTAGAAATTTTGCCTTATGGCACCTAGGCAGTTGTGCATATGGTTAGTTTACTTCTAATATTAGCACACAAGTGTTTATAATTTCTAGAAGATGTGCATATAAAATTGGGTGTAATTTAATTCTGCAAGGTAAATGTAGTGTAACCAGTCTTTTAAATACTCAAATTTAATCTCAAAATACAGTCTTAAAGCAAAAGGACATTTGTAACTTGACCTTTTATCACAAAACCAAAATCAGAAAAATGCTGCTCAAAATTGGCTTCTTTGAGAATAGTAATCTATTCCTAAATTTACCCAACTTAGGAAGTTCCTTTAAATAATATATATATTAGTTTAAAACACCCTGTTGTCTAAAATATTTTCCTTGTCTATGACTGCCTATTCAAATAAGAGAATTCATATGTATTTTAATCTATACAAAAGAGAAATAAAGCTGAGCTATAAATAACATTCTACTTTTTAAATGATATATATTGCCTGTCAATGAGATAAATTCTACATAGGCATTCAGCTGTTTTAAAAATGGTAAGTGGCTTCTTCAGCATTGAAAAACTGAAGTTTTAAAAGCAGGCTAATTCTGGCTTTCAAGGGCATGATGGAATCTGTCCCATGGTCTCATTGTTTATAATGTGGAAGGATTTTTTTAAGCTTCAAGGTTCTTTTGGCACTTGTCAATGAAGGCCAAGCATCAGAAGCATTCAGAGAGTTCAGAGAGAGAAAGAAGGAGAGTTCAACCATTATAACAAGATATGAATGAAATGCCTAGAAGTTAAGAAAGGTTTTATAGATAAGGTGACACCAAAGCTTAGTCTTTAAATACAAGTATCTAGGCAAAGCTCACACTGAGATAGAAAAATCCATGCTGCATCTTGTAGGAAACAGCAAGAGCAGGAAGGCAGTGCCAGATGTGTAGAGGAAAAAGAAAAAAATCACAGAAATATGGGCAACCGATTAGTGAGACTACTTATTTTTGCAATATTCTAGGCAAAAGAGCATTAGACCTTATTTAAGATAGCACGAGTAGAAACACAGATAAGGAAACAATGTTCTGGTGACTTATTAAAGGTATGGGTGAGAGGGAATGACTCAGATTTCTTTAAGATTAAGGCTGGTACCACAGAACAGGATGTATTTCTGCTCAGTCCCCCTGAAGTGAATTAGCTACTCATTGAGAGGCAGGGAGGACAAGTGCAGCCTTCCTCCACACTCCAGGGAGAGAGACCTTTCCTGCAACCATCTCTCCGATACAGAGTCCTAATCCCTGTTGTTCTTGCCACCTTACCGCATGGCCTTGTGTTCTGACTCAGTGACTCAGCTCTGAGTTTCAATTTCCTCTTAAGTAAAATAGAGCTAATAAAAATCACCTTGTCAACTTACAAAAGTGTCCTAAAATCCTTAATGTATAACTTGTTAATATCTGGCCTTTTCTGAAGTTGTAAAGTTGAAAACAAATATGTTTTTCAAATTCAAACCTTAAGACTTAAAAGAGTGGCTGTAATTATTTTACATAATAGATACATTTAATAGTTTTTTAAAGCTGAACATTTCTCAATATTTTTAAAATATAAACCATTTTGTCTAATATAACCTACTACCTAATTACTATTTATTGATCTGAAATAGGTTTTTAAGAACAGTTCCTATCCATGATTAATGTGGTTATGCTTCTATTTCCTAACATCAGCCACGTTTCTTCCATTCTTTAGCATTCAAACTAAATCTCTCATTATTGATGTGCAAGATATTTTAGTGTAAACACTGTAAGACTTCAGGGATGTCCCAAGCAGATGTCATCTGTCTCCTGGAAATCCTAATCCAGCAGAAAGCTTCAACGGAAAGACCTTCTATTTTACTTTTAGTTTTGGATAAAAGGTATCAGTAAAACCAGCATTCTGTCAGATAAAAGAGAGCACACAAAGGTACCTGACCCTAACAGAGGATAACACTGACCCACTCAAAATCACTTACAGGCCAGCCTCCAGCAACCTGTGAATATGGAGCAACAAAACCCTCCTTTCCTCCTGCGTACCTCTGTGAAACATTTGGTCTTCCAAGATGACACAGCTTTCTCTTGACCAGGCCCTCTCCTGCACATCTTCAGAACTTTTAAAACATAGATTCTACAGGGAAGAATAGGAAGAGGGGAAAAAAATGAATATATAATGACAAATTCCTCAGAAGTAGTGGTTTCTAGATTAATGGGGTTAGATTTTTTTTTTCCAGCTTCTTCAAACTTCTTTCCAAATTTCCTACAATAAGCATCCCCTACCGATGCAATTTAGGAAATAAAGGAAAAATATTTTCACTAATAAAGACAAATCTGTTCTTTAAAGTTTGAATCAAATTGAAATCTTTACTTATATCTTGACTTTGATATGTTTTTAAATGAGGACTAGACAGATACTTTTAGATATGTAAATATGGAAGGTGATCATTGTAAGTACACAGGCTCACATCTACATTGCTTTCTAGTCTCAGCGGCCTTTAGTGTATAATTCTGTTGTTAGCCTGAGGTCTTCTAGGCCTTTCCCTTCCTATTATTCTATTGCTGTGATAACCAGAATTACCTTCATGCCTGGTGTTATACCTGCAAATATATAATGTGACTTGGCAATAAAGTTGCTAACCAGTTGACCTTAAAATAGGGAGATTATCCAAGTGAGCCCAATTTAAACATACAGGCCCTTAAAATCAGAAGAGGAAAGCACAAGAGCCAGCCAGCCAGAAAAATGTAGTAGAAGAAGAGGCAGGAGAGATTTGAATCATGAGGCCCCTTTCACTGGTTTTGATGAAGGGAGCCATGTGTCAGGCTTCTGCAGAGCCCACCCAGCCTTACCAATGTTTTGCTTTTTTAGCCTTGTGTGTTCTGAAGCAGAAATACCAGCTAAGCCTGCTGAACTTACAAAACTGTGAAATAAATTTGTAGTAATTTGTTATAACAGCAATAGAAAACTACAGTAGCTCGTTAGAAAATACAATGTTTAACAAACATGACAAAAGTGGAAAAACATGAATGCTCCAAGGAATCATAGGCAACCTTTTTCTACAACGACTTTCTCTAACTGACATCCAGGACATTAGCTTAATGACCGAACAGAATATAGCTTTCAAATTAACCAGCAGCTTTAATTTGATTTTATCGAAAAAAAACAAGCACTCAGGCTGCTTTTCTCTTTTGTGTGTGCAGTAGTTTGTACACACAAATATTAACTAGGGAGAACCTGTTAACTATGAAATACCATGCAAGTCAAGAAGACATCCTAACTGCATGGTTATAGTGGAAGACAAACACTCCCACCCATCCTTTAACACTCACAAAAAATACAAACAAAACTGAAATTTGAATCTGGGGTTATTAAAACACAAAAGCACTGGGCATCTGGCCTTTTTTTTTTCTTACTGAAACAAATCAGAAAAAGTGATCCCAATCTCAACAGTTTAAATTTTTAATAGGTGATCAAGTGCTTCAACAGATTCATTTACCAGCCAATGGGTTTTTTTTTTTTTACCTTTTCAGAGACAGTCTAAGAAAGAAAGAACAAATGCAGGATGTTCTTGAAAAAAAGATGAATAATTAATACGCAACCTTTTTCTTATGATTGTCATGATCATAATAACCTAATGGCTGTCAATTTTGTTTTATTTATTACACTCAAAATTCACTGTATATTTAAGCACACATGAGAACACAACCATCCTTACTAAAACAAGATTTCTATGCATAGAGGTTCACAGTTCTCTAACAATTTTAAATTAAATACTCAAAACATTGTATGACCTTAGGTATTTGTGAACAGTCTTAAAAGAAAGTTCTATTTTGGTACTTTTTAAGGCAGCTTTAGCCAACATTTTATGAAGTTCTTAATATCTGTTGCAACAAAAGACAAATTTGATATTCAAGTATTTGATGTTTTCAAGCAATTTTAAGTCGCTTAAGATAAAAATACTCTAACTTATGAAACTGTGTTCTTAAACCTTTGTACTACTATATTTTTACTACATAAGACTTACCTAAAATCAAGGTAACTCATCCTGTCAGTATCAAAGCTATCAATTTTTTAAAAAAGGATTTACATTAACTATGAGGTTGATAAAGCCAGTATTTAAACAATGGCCTTCCATTTCTCACACATCTGTGAGGTAGGCTATTTTACAGATGAGAAAATAAATGAGTCTGTGTGACTTGATGCTACCACAGCAGCTAAACTGAGAATGAGTCCAAGTCACATTTTGTTCTTTGTGTTCTCTTTCCTTCACAAATTTTTTAAAGAGTTGACATATAAAGATTGCTAATCACCATGTACATTTTAAAAACGTGAGAAGGCAGCCAAACTTCTACCAAGGTGACAAAAAAAAGTGAAGCAACATAAAATAGGAAAATGCATCTAGTGAACAACTTCTGACAGTGATTGATAGGGTGAGTTCTGGCCAAAGGAACCTGGAAACAAACAGCCAAAAGCTAACTACTTGACCATCTGTGGAGGGCAGATCTAAGGGAAAATGAGGGGAATTAGAAAAAAATATAGTTCAAGTTTTTGACTACTTATTACTGATCCTGTAATTTAAGAGAAGGCACAATTAGTGTTGTTTTAAACAGTGGATCTGTTTCTCTTTTCCCTTTTACGAAAATGTCTAGAAAAATGGCCTTTCTTTGTAACAAACTTACTTCTTAAAGGGGACTTTTTGATGTGAAAAACGAATACTTAAATTAGCAAAAATTAATGATGCAATTCTCCTTGGCTAGAATGTTCCTTTCCTATTCTTCCTTAATTGTTTTAAACAGTGGATCTGTTTCTCTTTTCCCTTTTACGAAAATGTCTAGAAAAATGGCCTTTCTTTGTAACAAACTTACTTCTTAAAGGGGACTTTTTGATGTGAAAAACGAATACTTAAATTAGCAAAAATTAATGATGCAATTCTCCTTGGCTAGAATGTTCCTTTCCTATTCTTCCTTAAAATTTTAAATCAACACAAAGTAGCAAAGCTCAGATTGAAAAAAAAAGGTCATACTATATGAACCTTGTCAAAATTGTACATGCTTAAAAAGTTTTCATGCTAGGATATTCTAGTAGTAGCTTTTTTTCCTGTGAAAAGTGTTCTACTCTAGGATTACCTTAATTGCACTTTAAATGTAACTGGAATTTACCTACCCTGCTTGTCCAAATAATCATGAGCTATTTCCATAAAATCTAAACTGCTTTAGATATAAACAATGGTTACCAAAAGTCACACACAGTCACTGCTTCAAATTGGCACTGCTATGCAAGGCTGACAGTAAACAAACATTAACACTGACTCGTAGAACACAGGCCCACAGTCAGACAACTTCTACACCCAGCCTGATGCTTACAGTTATAGCTGAACAAGTTTAAAACTCAATCCAGTCTAGACTGTAAGTCCTGTTCTTTATGCCATTATTGTTCAGTGGCATCAAATGCAACATAATTGAATGTGCAAAAGGCTGGTAAGATGCCAGCAACTTGTTTAAAATTAGATACAATTTTTAAAGCTCAAATTACATTTCAATGTTTTATAAGGTTTGGGAGCATCTCCATCAAGCCGATAATAATTAGGTAGTTCAAGAACAGAAATATACTCTATGAAAATAGTGTTCCATCATCATTTTAACATGCATATAAAGTGAAAAATTATCAATCTGTATATGAAGTTTAGATAAGCCTAATTCAGATAACAATCAAAAACTGATAATTTAAGGTAGGGGCGGGGGCTAGTTTTACTTTTTAAAAAAGACTGCTGTAAGAATCATGTAAATAAAAATTAAAGAATCATGTCCCAAAAAGTTTCTTCAGTATTTTTAAAACACCCTCAATGACTCAGAAGTACTTATAAAAGTGAATATGCTAACCATAAATACTTCAGATGATGGCATCTCGTTAATACATCAATTGGTTCAAATAATTAAACTAACAAATTCTCATTTAAGACGACTTTGTGTCAGGCTAAGACTTGAAAGCAAAACATCCATGTTTATTTTTATTACTCAACTACTCATGTTTCAGTAATTGATTGTTCTCCGGAGGAAGGTGGCACATACAGAGCAGTGATCACTGCTGAATACTGCTATGGCATTAGAGCTTTGTGGAGAGCTTTCTGGTCCTGCTACTTCATCTGGAAAAGGATTACCTCACAGCATTACTATATTAAATAAGGTAACAGATACAGAACACGTCCAAATCTGAAAGTCACTATAGAAATTAGTACTATTTCGCTTTATACCAGTGTGCATGACAGGTTAACATATTTGGTTTTCTGGATGATTTTTGTCCAAAGAGCAGCTGTACTTAAAAAAATACACAAGTACATACCGTTAAAATGCCTCACCAAACATATTCATTCATGCTAGTATAAGATCTCTAAATATATAAAAAGTGTACATTAGCACAAATCATATAAAAAGCCAGGGAAGATGAAACTTTAAAGCTCAAAGCTATCTAAAGTCTTTTAATCTACCCCTTCCTTCCACTTTAGAAATTACAAAACAAGGCCCAGCTCAGGATGTGATTTACCAACAGATTGCACATATCCCTCATCCAGAATTTTTAAAAAGAGTCTCTGAGAACAGTTATTAAAATAAATTACATTCCCTGTTGTGTTTTTTTATAGTCACAGAGTGATAGAATGACTAGGTGAAGAAATGCCAGGTTGAGATGGTGCTGGTCTTTAAAAACAAAAAACAGAAAAAACAATGAACATGTCTAGCATTTAGATATTGAGATTTCAAGGCTATTAACAGAATTTAAATTTTTTACCAGTGAATAGACAAAGATGCAGTACCTGTGGTATGCACATTCCAAGCTTTTGTATTTTATAAATAGAAGGTGCAGTGCTTGTATTAATTCAGTATACTGCACAATAGAGACTACAGATAAATACAAATAGTAAAAAAATCTTTTAACAGTTACCTGTGATAATTCTCTTCATTATGTCTCATTTAATACAAATCAATTTGTATTCCCTGAGAACAAACTGGCTAGCGAAAAAGAAAGCAAGTCCAGAATTATATAACTGTCATGGAAAACCTATGGAGAACTGTATTACATATAGCCAATTCCCTGACATAGAAATACTGTTATTTCTGATTGATTCGGGCTCCTGGATTCTCTTTATAGATGGCTAGTATCAAGGAAAGCAAACACTGCAAGTTACAAAAGTATCTTGAAAGTTTGTTGTTAATCAAAACAAAAACCCGGTTTGTAACAGTTTACCTCCCCCTCTCCCTACATATTCAAAATGCTGTTTGTTCATACACTAAAGGATAACAGGAATTAGATATAGATACGTGTCCTCTATAAAAGTATTCAGATCATGTTCACTGATTACATATTTTCAAAGTAAGAATCAATGATATTGACTCATTAGTCTAGAGTCATAAGCATTCATCACCAATCTTATCCTTTTTTCACAAATAATCTTCAGGTTTTTCAGTTATTCATTCAATAAAAAATAAAAATTTTGCTCCCAAACAAACACTACCACAACCTGAATAAGAAAATCAAAGTGCTGTGAAATAAGTCAGGAACATACACAACTCTGTATATCCAGCATTTGCTCAAGATGAATTATGTCCATAGGTTAAAATGAAATTATTCAAATTGCCATCTAGATTCACTCAAAAACTGATAAAGGAAAAGGAAATCTTAATTTTATTCTTAAAACTACCCTAATTACGGAAATCTGGGATAACTTTTCTAAACCAGTTTTACTTTTTTGCTTTTCCCCATGGGATAGTAAGTTTAAAAAGATGCCTAAATTAATGTGGGCAAAGGGGGTTAAACAAAGTTAAATGGTTTTCTTTTTCTTTTCACTGAAAGACCTGTCAGTCTCCAGTGCTCATATGCACTGTCATCCTCAAGTAGTTGAGTAGCAAGTAACATTTTCCAAACTTGCTCAATGGGATTATTTTTCTGCAGAGCATCTCACAGGATACAGTTTAGGAAATGCTATTCTGTAAGTATTTGGAGTCCACTTCCATGATACAGCTAAATATCTGTAAACCAATAATAGAAGCTCGCCTCCAGAATCCTAACTGCAAGAAACTGTTCCTACTCCAGATCTACCATATACACATCCACAATATTAGGCAGTTTACAAGACTAAAACGTGGGAATTTAGCAATTCTTTACTGCTTCCTGCCTATTAACAACAAAAAGCCTCCTATGACATTATTCTAGCCCCTTTAAATGCTAGGCTGAGCTTCCTGAAATCTTCTCTACAAACCAATTTACTATACCATCTAGATTCACAAAATAGCTGTGCTTTAAAAACTTCAGCATACGAGAACCAAAACTGACCCTTGATTCTCCCAAAATTCAACCAGGTAACTATCAAAGTGTAGATATTCACAAATCCTGGTAAGAATGAGAAAAGGATAACTTTTTAATTCTTAAGAATCATGCTAATCATCAATATAAATTCTGATATGAGTAAGTTTCTAACAAACATCTGATTTATTAGACTAAAAGCTAACAATGCCACTGAACACCTGCTATTTCTTAACCTTGGAAATTGTTAGGGATTTTGTCACTGGGAATAAGGAATCAGATTAGTTCCTTATTTCTACGGTCATCCCCTTCACAGTCAACCAGATATTATGAGGCAGCCCTGTTTCTCCCAGAAGAAGTATTTACACATCTGGATAGGCCAATATTATGCCATATCTATAGTGCAGATCAGACTGTCAAAAGGACTGCTTATCCCTGTAAAAAATAATCACAGAAAGTACCCTTTGGTGCCACCAGGTGGCAATCGTTCAAAGTTTTAAACTTAGAACATCTTAACTACAACCCTACCCTCTTTCCCAAACTGGCAAACAATAATAATTCCTTTTATTTTGATATTAAAAAGTCAGGTTGACAAGTTAACACCATTTTTAAAGTTCTACAAAACAATATTAGGTGACACACTTAAATCTCCTGACTCAAAACTATTTACAGACAGGCATGCTTGTCTGAGAAACTTGATCTAACATTCTCATTCGCTTCTTGGTAGAAATCACATTATTTTTGGCAAAGAGAAACCTTTTTGCAAGAGTTAATCTTTCCTAGGGTAAATTACTTGAACGAGGTTAATTATCACATATTAAAACAAATGAATACAAATTAAATTACACATAATTTAAAAATTAAATACTAATATAACAAAATATAATCAATGCTCTACTCTGCTATACACAGATTTTTTTTAACCTTAAAAAAAAAACACCTGCATACAGCAAAACAAACTGTTTGCTTTTCCTTTAAAAGCACTGGTGTGTGTATACATATATGTATATATGTAAACAACACATATTTGTTCAAGAGAGAATTTCTTTTTAATGTTAAAGGCTTCCCTGCCCTAACAGGTTGAACAGTGAAGGTCACAGCCAATCAAGCTTTGGAAGTACACAAAAGCCCTTAGGGCCAGAACAGTATTTTGAAATTGGATGGCTACCAACCAAGATAATAGGACAAAGAAGGGAACCCGGAAAGATTTAAAGGCTAAGTCAGTCAGCCACTAAGGATCAAACAACAAAGACAATGGTGACTAGAGAAGGTGAGGTGGGGAGGGTGGTGGCTGCAATAACAAATTTAAATTTAAGATTAGCAATTTAGTATAGTGGGATGCAACAGGACACACATGCCCTGCCACCACACATGGTAAGAGTCCAAGGATAAGAGTTCTCTTTTAAGAGACTATTATTATTTTGCTTTGTTTCAATTAACTATTTTATCATGCTTGAAGTAGAAAAATATATAGAGCCAAAAAAAATTTGAGACAGGTAGGTTTTGAAGGTAGGTTTAAAATGATTTAAGTTTATGAAAAGACAAAACTTGTTGCAATTACACATCTTCCAATACTGAGTAGAACCCTGAAGGTTCTTAAGATAACTATATTACCTGGAGAAATCTCAGGATAAAACCTCTAGTTCATTACAGCTGTCTTCCAGGAACCTAGACATCATGGTTACTAGCTTCAGGACCACAGCTCTTCTGTTAAACAGTAAACAGTATCTTCAAGAACTGCTAGAACTTAGCTTCTGAAATTTGGGGGACAGGCTTTTAAGGTTTCAACATTTAAATACTATCTTACTAATAATGGTTGTTTGATTTTTTTAATCATGTGTAAGAGAACTGGGTGTATAAACACAACTTAAAGCCTGCTGAAATTTAGGAAATAAACAGTAAAGAGGTGCTACCAAATCAACCTTTGATTAAAATGGTTCCCCAGTGAAGGTGTATTAATCATCTGTAGTGAACTCACAATTTTAAATTAACACTAATCTTCATCAATTTCACCTTTTAAAAATACTGCCTATGTGAATTTATCTCAGGCAAAATAGAAATACAGGTGTCTGTGAATAAATAAATTGTCAGACTTTTTTGTTTTCAGTAATTTCAATGGCATTAAGGGTCCGTGGAGATATTCGTGTCTGTCAATCAGTATTGCAGAGTATGTGATATCCATAGGTAAAATAATTTAAAGAATATGTCTGATTTTCACAGTACAATAACAGAAAGATAGAAACTAGGGAAGAATCATCAACGGGCTAATGTAGTGATCAGACTGGCACACATTTCAAAAAAATCCATGGTGTGACTGCCCAGGCGGGGTGGAACTGATGACAACGTGCTTCCAGTCAAGGAGCCAGTGAGAGAGCCAGAAAGTGAATGGCTCTCCGCAGTTACAGAATCAAAGCTTGATCTTGGTCTATGTAAGCCGGCAGCAGAAGAGGAACGCTGAGGTGTTGAGGAACCAGACCTCTGCTCCACTACCTCATCTGAAATAGACCAAAGAAGAGCGATTTATACAAAAGATGTATTTGCCCAAGCCCTTCCTATGAAGATGCTATATTCAAAATATTAAGTAAGTAAACATAACTGAGCAAGGGCAACTTAATAATGAATGTCAAGTCTCAGGGCTTTAGGAGCTGAGGTGGCCATACTTCTTCCCTCCCACAATCACAAAGATGTCAATAATCAATCATAAAACTTCCACAGTGAAAATGTGACCCCTAAATCCTTCTCAGCATAGTATTTGCCATTAACCTTAAAATCAAACTGATATCCCTTTGAAGAATGCACATCTTTGCGGCTTATTCTCTTGCAGCCTACCAACAAAAAATATCATTAAAATAAAAGCAGAAGTTACCACACACAGCTGTTCTGAGCCTTTGGTGCACATTGCAACTTGCTAGGGGAAGGATGAGGGAAATGTTAAAAATGAAGATTCCTGGTTTCCCAGGACCCATCTCCAGAAATCCTGATTTGGTATTTCTGGGGTAGTTTCCAAGAATCTGCATTTTAATAAGAACTCTGAGAAATTTTGATGAAGATGGTCTGGGTACCATATAAGCATTCCTATAGTTGATAATAGTTCAAGAATAAAACTTAACATGCCCTATTTAAAGCAAGTTCCCTAACTCTGAACTCAGTTCTACTCTTGTCCCAGCCAGCACCTGACCCTTGATTTAGTCCATTTTAATCCCACTTGGGCCTCTGAAAAGAACAAGCAATTTGGTTCACCCAGGTTTGACTTCTGGAACATGCTAAGTACTCAGATATGACCACCTCCCTTGACTCCTTTGGCTTGTGGACATCCACGGGCACCAAAATTCCAGGAGAAGACTATTTGATCATCTTGGCCAACCAGAATGAGGGAAGCTGATGAACAGGACGCTTAGACAGTACAATGTTAACAGTAATAAAATATGAATGGAGAAATGTGACGAGGAACCTGATTTTAGGTAAAAATTGCTTCGCTGTCATTCCTTACTTTTGCTCCACAACCAACAATTCAAATGACATTTTTATGCCAAGGAAGCATTTCTTATGGAGAGCTGCTGGATTAGAAATATTCTACCTGTCCTCAGTCCTTTTTATTTAACTTAAATTTTTAGTGAAATATAGATTACTTAAAAACCAGTATAAAGGACCTACCCACCATGTCTGAGATGATTTTAACATATTGTCAACTAGTGCCAAGTTTTATCTTCTCAGAGCTCATGCCTGCATAGCTTCCTTACCATCAATGCTTTTAAAATCCAAAAGATAGCTTCTGTTGTCAACCAGGTAAAGTTGTAAGCTCATTTTCACATAATTGCCAGTCACTGGATTTTTTCTTCTAACACGAAGATGGTATGCATTCACTACCTAAAATGGAAATCTTCTTTAATGAAAAATGTTAGAAATAACAAACAAAATATCTCCCTTATTCTTACTGCAAAGACTATCAATACAAATAATTGAAAGAGTTGAGGTATAGAAGAAATGCCTGAATTTTTTTAATAGTACATGGTAGTTTAGTATTTATTTAATCCCAATGATAGTGTTTATATATAGCAATTAAAATTCAAAGGGAAGTCAGAAATTATAGAAAGTCTAGACTTCATTAATGCCTCCACTCTAAAACATCAACAATAATTTTGGTTACCCAGCCTCAACTTGAATACTTCTACCTGTGAGTATGGAGTAGAAGGAATAAAGGAGAACTGACATGATGCAAACTGTAACAGAATTTAAACAAAATTTAAGTCATCACAATAATCCTATGGGCAAGATATTATTTGCCTTTTGAAGAGAACTGCAGCTTAGATAAAGATGACTTTAACCTTAAAAAAAAAACACCTGCATACAGCAAAACAAACTGTTTGCTTTTCCTTTAAAAGCACTGGTGTGTGTATACATATATGTATATATGTAAACAACACATATTTGTTCAAGAGAGAATTTTTTTTTAATGTTAAAGGCTTCCCTGCCCTAACAGGTTGAACAGTGAAGGTCACAGCCAATCAAGCTTTGGAAGTACACAAAAGCCCTTAGGGCCAGAACAGTATTTTGAAATTGGATGGCTACCAACCAAGATAATAGGACAAAGAAGGGAACCAGGAAAGATTTAAAGGCTAAGTCAGTCAGCCACTAAGGATCAAACAACAAAGACAATGGTGACTAGAGAAGGTGAGGTGGGGAGGGTGGTGGCTGCAATAACAAATTTAAATTTAAGATTAGCAATTTAGTATAGTGGGATGCAACAGGACACACATGCCCTGCCACCACACATGGTAAGAGTCCAAGGATAAGAGTTCTCTTTTAAGAGACTATTATTATTTTGCTTTGTTTCAATTAACTATTTTATCATGCTTGAAGTAGAAAAATATATAGAGCCAAAAAAAATTTGAGACAGGTAGGTTTTGAAGGTAGGTTTAAAATGATTTAAGTTTATGAAAAGACAAAACTTGTTGCAATTACACATCTTCCAATACTGAGTAGAACCCTGAAGGTTCTTAAGATAACTATATTACCTGGAGAAATCTCAGGATAAAACCTCTAGTTCATTACAGCTGTCTTCCAGGAACCTAGACATCATGGTTACTAGCTTCAGGACCACAGCTCTTCTGTTAAACAGTAAACAGTATCTTCAAGAACTGCTAGAACTTAGCTTCTGAAATTTGGGGGACAGGCTTTTAAGGTTTCAACATTTAAATACTATCTTACTAATAATGGTTGTTTGATTTTTTTAATCATGTGTAAGAGAACTGGGTGTATAAACACAACTTAAAGCCTGCTGAAATTTAGGAAATAAACAGTAAAGAGGTGCTACCAAATCAACCTTTGATTAAAATGGTTCCCCAGTGAAGGTGTATTAATCATCTGTAGTGAACTCACAATTTTAAATTAACACTAATCTTCATCAATTTCACCTTTTAAAAATACTGCCTATGTGAATTTATCTCAGGCAAAATAGAAATACAGGTGTCTGTGAATAAATAAATTGTCAGACTTTTTTGTTTTCAGTAATTTCAATGGCATTAAGGGTCCGTGGAGATATTCGTGTCTGTCAATCAGTATTGCAGAGTATGTGATATCCATAGGTAAAATAATTTAAAGAATATGTCTGATTTTCACAGTACAATAACAGAAAGATAGAAACTAGGGAAGAATCATCAACGGGCTAATGTAGTGATCAGACTGGCACACATTTCAAAAAAATCCATGGTGTGACTGCCCAGGCGGGGTGGAACTGATGACAACGTGCTTCCAGTCAAGGAGCCAGTGAGAGAGCCAGAAAGTGAATGGCTCTCCGCAGTTACAGAATCAAAGCTTGATCTTGGTCTATGTAAGCCGGCAGCAGAAGAGGAACGCTGAGGTGTTGAGGAACCAGACCTCTGCTCCACTACCTCATCTGAAATAGACCAAAGAAGAGCGATTTATACAAAAGATGTATTTGCCCAAGCCCTTCCTATGAAGATGCTATATTCAAAATATTAAGTAAGTAAACATAACTGAGCAAGGGCAACTTAATAATGAATGTCAAGTCTCAGGGCTTTAGGAGCTGAGGTGGCCATACTTCTTCCCTCCCACAATCACAAAGATGTCAATAATCAATCATAAAACTTCCACAGTGAAAATGTGACCCCTAAATCCTTCTCAGCATAGTATTTGCCATTAACCTTAAAATCAAACTGATATCCCTTTGAAGAATGCACATCTTTGCAGCTTATTCTCTTGCAGCCTACCAACAAAAAATATCATTAAAATAAAAGCAGAAGTTACCACACACAGCTGTTCTGAGCCTTTGGTGCACATTGCAACTTGCTAGGGGAAGGATGAGGGAAATGTTAAAAATGAAGATTCCTGGTTTCCCAGGACCCATCTCCAGAAATCCTGATTTGGTATTTCTGGGGTAGTTTCCAAGAATCTGCATTTTAATAAGAACTCTGAGAAATTTTGATGAAGATGGTCTGGGTACCATATAAGCATTCCTATAGTTGATAATAGTTCAAGAATAAAACTTAACATGCCCTATTTAAAGCAAGTTCCCTAACTCTGAACTCAGTTCTACTCTTGTCCCAGCCAGCACCTGACCCTTGATTTAGTCCATTTTAATCCCACTTGGGCCTCTGAAAAGAACAAGCAATTTGGTTCACCCAGGTTTGACTTCTGGAACATGCTAAGTACTCAGATATGACCACCTCCCTTGACTCCTTTGGCTTGTGGACATCCACGGGCACCAAAATTCCAGGAGAAGACTATTTGATCATCTTGGCCAACCAGAATGAGGGAAGCTGATGAACAGGACGCTTAGACAGTACAATGTTAACAGTAATAAAATATGAATGGAGAAATGTGACGAGGAACCTGATTTTAGGTAAAAATTGCTTCGCTGTCATTCCTTACTTTTGCTCCACAACCAACAATTCAAATGACATTTTTATGCCAAGGAAGCATTTCTTATGGAGAGCTGCTGGATTAGAAATATTCTACCTGTCCTCAGTCCTTTTTATTTAACTTAAATTTTTAGTGAAATATAGATTACTTAAAAACCAGTATAAAGGACCTACCCACCATGTCTGAGATGATTTTAACATATTGTCAACTAGTGCCAAGTTTTATCTTCTCAGAGCTCATGCCTGCATAGCTTCCTTACCATCAATGCTTTTAAAATCCAAAAGATAGCTTCTGTTGTCAACCAGGTAAAGTTGTAAGCTCATTTTCACATAATTGCCAGTCACTGGATTTTTTCTTCTAACACGAAGATGGTATGCATTCACTACCTAAAATGGAAATCTTCTTTAATGAAAAATGTTAGAAATAACAAACAAAATATCTCCCTTATTCTTACTGCAAAGACTATCAATACAAATAATTGAAAGAGTTGAGGTATAGAAGAAATGCCTGAATTTTTTTAATAGTACATGGTAGTTTAGTATTTATTTAATCCCAATGATAGTGTTTATATATAGCAATTAAAATTCAAAGGGAAGTCAGAAATTATAGAAAGTCTAGACTTCATTAATGCCTCCACTCTAAAACATCAACAATAATTTTGGTTACCCAGCCTCAACTTGAATACTTCTACCTGTGAGTATGGAGTAGAAGGAATAAAGGAGAACTGACATGATGCAAACTGTAACAGAATTTAAACAAAATTTAAGTCATCACAATAATCCTATGGGCAAGATATTATTTGCCTTTTGAAGAGAACTGCAGCTTAGATAAAGATGACTCTAGGTTTTCAAAAATATCAAATTAGTCCCAAAAATGTTTCAGGAAGAAATTTTAAAGACATTAACACCTCTTCTTTAACTAACTAAAACTGCTTCAGAAAAAGATGTTTTTTAAATGGTTTTAAGGAAATATTATTTTGTTTATTCATTTTATGTATAAATAATAAAGTGAAAATGACTGATTTATTCAAACATGTCAAGTAAACATTTACATCATGTGTTTGAATGTTTCTTTTTTCTTCCTTTAAAAATATGTTCACAGCCCTCAAGAAAGGACTAAGAGTGAAAAGGATATCTGAAATGAACAAATGCTTTCTTTCCCCCCACATATACACAATTAGAATTGAAGTGGATTTGAACACCAAATTAAAAAAGGGAAATGTGGGCTGAAAGTAAGAAAAACATACCATTACTCAAAAAAAGCACCAGACAAGTAAGAGATTTCTCAACTTTGAAAAAAATATTTCTTGACTGAATAAATATGTTCTGATGGTATAATCTGTGTCAACCACTAGATGCTATAGCTACTAGCACAAGGAAAAAAAAAAAAAAAACTCCCTAAAAATGAAGAAAAGTAAAAACATACTATCTTTGAAGACACATGACTTTTTTATTGCTATGATGCATGCTGAAACAGATGGACTCAGGTCATTTCAATTGATTAGTTTTTGTTTCTTGGCCAATAATGCTATAATTAAAAATATGTAAGGTCCCCAACATCAACGCCTCTTCTTCCTTATAGAGGTTTATTTGTTTAGTTTTGAATGCACATGGTACATTATTGGAAAGAATGAGGTTTATCAGCCAGATGCATTCAGACAACTAAATTTGCATCTAAATAAAAAATAACTTTTTATTGACCTAAATACTCAACTCAGCAGCTCAGCACAGCTTAAGAAAAAAAAATGGCTTCTACAAGCGATCTTTATATACCACAATTTCCTACCTTCCACTCAAAATCCAGCTGCTTCATAGCTCGGTAAACTTCAGCCATAATGTCATATGGTTTGCTTTGACTTCGGATTCCAAGATGCCACTTGGCTTTTTTCACAGCTAAAGATTTGGGCTTAGTTGTATTCAGTGCATCCAATGGACATCTTGCTTTAGGGCTGTCCGCTACAAGAGGTGGCATCCTTTCTGGATGAGGTTTCAGGCCTGGGGGAATATGCATGGCACTATCATCCATAAAAGAACCAGTTGGGGGACTAGAGGCGAGGTAGAACTCACTGGCTTGGTTCATTATTCTCCGATTGTCAATGATAAGATGATAAGCCACTGCAAGCTGGTCTTGAGGGTCACCACTATATAAACTGCTCATTACTTCTGATTCTGTACACTCAAATTTTTCACACACTTCTTTCACAGCCTCATCATCAATGACGTTAGCATCATAGGAAGGGTCTTCAGGAAATAAGTAAGTGGGCAAATCTTGTTTAAACCATTCATGCTCTCTAGGAAAAACACCACAATAGACTGTTGTAAGAACATGCTTTGGCAAGTCCCAAACAGTTTAGACATGGGGCAATAAAACAAAACAAAATCAAAAAGATCTCTCTAGCCACTTACTAGCAATGGGATCCTGGTATATTATGCAAGGACCCCTGAGTAAAATATGGTTATTCAAACTAGGGTATTTGCATAACATTTTCTCAATAACAAAATGAGCCTGTTACTTCATGGGAAACATCTGGCACTATTTGCCAATGATAAAATTCAAGCTTTCAAGCAAAATTTTAGAATTTTATATAATTGGTATTTTCATCCATGATTTTGACAATGTCCCAATAATTAAAAACTTTTCTGATAACAGTGATGATAATAATATGATGTTTATATTATATAATGAAATGTGTCACTATTTGGAAAAGCTGTCTAATTCCTTAACATAACATTTTCCAAGTGACCAATGCATGATGTTACAGAATCATAGATGTTGTGATGTAAAAGATCCATGCAAAATAAACCAGTGGATTTTAACGGAATAAAGTAAAAAAGTTCACTGCTATGTTTTCTAATTTGATATTGCAACTATTATGTTAAGCTTTAGTTTAACACCAAAGAGGAGCATCCACAACTATCTGAAAGGCTATAAAATGTTTGTCCCTTTCCCAACCATTTATCTCAGGACAGATTTTCTTCAATACAACATACTGCAACAGACAGAGTGGAGTAGATAGGAGAACCTAGCTGCCATCTGTGAGTAAGCCAAACACTAAGAAGATCTGAAAAATATGCCGCTGGTGACCATTTTTTAATTTTCTCATAAAAGATATTGTCATTTAAACTAACAGGTAATAGGTTTACTTTTATTTTTAAGAGAATTAAATATTTTTTGAATTCTCTCATTTTTAATTTCTAATATGGTGAATATTGATAGGTATAACCTGCATTTGAAAAACTACATACACAACTCTTTGGAACCCTCAATTTTAAGACTGTCAAGGGGTACTAAAGCCAAAAAGTTTGAGTACCAGTCTGCTAAATCTTATTTTCCCACATTTCTGAGTCTGTGCACATGATGTTAATACCTAGAATATGACTGCTACCCTAGACTATCCCACTCCTTTTCATCTAATATATATTGTACTTAAATGCTTTCTACTGAATGGTTAATTCATTTATGAATATTTACTAAAGACATACTATGGCAAAAGGACACTCCTAAGAGAAATTATATTCTGGTTGAATACAGATTAAACAAATATAAAAATATAGTTATCAAAAATACAGATATGAAAAAAAAAGATACAGTACAGAGCAAATGCTCAATAAATGCAGAATAAAGTGATGAATAGAGACATTAAGTATGAAGAAAACACATTCACTAATGCACTTATTGCTATGTTCATGATAATAAGCACCTAATAAATGTTTAGTAATAAAAATGACATACTAATTTTTTCAAAAGATAGAAGAAATGATGTGGTACATCCAACATTTTTAAAATATCAATGACAAATAGGAAACATAAGCACTTTTGAATGAACTCCAAAAGTTCACTCTTCCATAAAAGTAATAATATAACGAGCAAAAATTGTCAAAAACAACTTCTCCAGAACCCTGAAAATTAAAGAAAGGCTTGCAACAACCTGAGCAGTGTTTTTCAAGAAAAACAGCTGACTCTCAGTAAGAACAGAGAGATTTGCAATGTTTTAAGTTGTCCTTTATCTATCTCCTTTCCCCACTCAAAACCAACAGCCTCACAATCATAGCAGCCCAGAAAACTAGCAGCCAAGCAATCACTGGTGGAAGATGCGGAGCAGAATAGGTTTAGAGTTCTCAAAAAGTCCTATCCCCAGAGAACTGTCATTTGGCATGTCTAGCAGTTCTCTGTAAACCACTACTCACAAGGCTTATCTTTATCTGACCTGACTTAAGAGTTCCCCTACGGCAAACAGACTTCACCCCAGGACATTTGTCAAAAACAATCAATGGCAACTACCTAACATCCATCCCAGTTGCCTAAAGCAGCAAGAGTCAGAGTAAACACAAAACTGACCACAAAACTTGAAAAGATAAGTTGGGGAATAAGAGTTCCATAAGGGGTCTTCCTCTGATATATTCCTCATTTTCAAAAAGGCCATGTACATATGCAGGGCTGTGTGCAGGTCCAAGAGAAGCCATAATTTCTAATCACTGGCTGACTTTGAGCTTCTGTTCTAGAAGGAAGTGAAGACTAAGGCAGAATTGTTAATTTATTATTAGAGCACTGAAGGCATAGTCCAACATACACACACAGTCCCTCAACAAAGGCTGGAAGACTTACTAGGTCAAGGCATTTAAGGAAACTTCCACCTAATAATTAGCTGATCATTAAGTCAACCAAGCAGAGACTTCGGTGGCCAACCTGACAATGAATACAGACTTAATGGAATGAGTTCATTAAATTCACTAAACAAACAAGAGCAACATACAACAATTACAAACTCTAAGCATATGCCCAAGATAAATGAGAACATACAACCATACAAAACCTTGTAGATAAATGTTCACAGCAACATTATTCTTAAGAGCCAAGAAGTGAAAACAAATATCCATTAACTGATGAATGGATAGATAAGATGTACTATATCCATGCAATAGAACATTTTTCAAGCAAAAAAGGAATGGAGTGCTGATACATGCTACCCCATTAAAGAACCTTGAAAGCATTATATGCTAAGTGAAAGAAGCCAGACTCAAAAGGCTACATCCATTTATATAAAATGTCCAGAATAGGCAAATCTATACAGACAGACAGAAGGTTAGTAGGTTAGGTCAGGGGCTAAAAGGATGGAGAAATGGGTAGTGACTACTAATGAACATAGAGTTTCTTTTGGCCATGATGAAAATGTTCTGGAATTAGATAGTGGTAATTGAGAGAATCCGGACCTGCATACCACCTTTTAAATGAGCCCACCCACCATTTCAGAGAGACCTAGGTTTCATCTTACCTAGGCTACAGGCATTCTCCAGAGGACACATCAGCAAGCCACAAGTCCACCTTTCCCCTGACCCTTCCCCTCAAAAGCCCACCAAAACCCTGGCCATAAAAAGCCTCTTGACCTGTTAGAGGCCTTTTCCATTGTTCTGCTGGACAGAACAAAGGGGTCCCTCTCAGGTGTAGCAAAAACCTGATTGGACTGCTGAGTTCACATCCCCTCTTTTTTTGTCATCTATCCCCTCTTTTTTCTTTCAGTAATGACTGTATGCTTTTGTAAATATACTAAAACCACTGAATTATATAATTTAAAGGGACAAATTCATGGTATGTGAATTAATTCAATCAATAAATGTTCAAGAAATAACAAATCGGGAAATAATCTGAACTTTCATTTCTAATTCATTAATTTAGACAAAGGACCAATAACTATAATAAGAATACTGTTAATTAAAAAGCCATACTTCTAGATTTTGATTTTCAGGAGTCAATTTCTAATGACTCTGTCAAGGTAAGCAGTAACCAAGATGTTTATTAAGGTTCGCCTGAGACAAAATCAATTCATTTCGCAAGGGTTACTGCACAGCCACCAGAAATTATATCTTTCTATCATTACTACCTGATACCTGATTTTGATACATGACTCAAGACTAAACAAGTTATAAAGACTATCAGTCAGATTTCAGAAACTACAATGTGTCCAAACTTCTTTAAGTACAAAAGGTTCTTACATATTCACTTAAAAATAATATTAATAGCTAACACTGTATGCTGGACATTGTTTTAAAAGCTTTAATTATATTAAGTTGATTACTTCAAGTTTCTGATACTCAACTGTTTTAGAACTAAAGAAACAGTAAATTCACATGGTCAACCAAAGACTATCCTTCTAACAAATCTACTATATATAATGTAACTAAGGGACAAATAGAATAATACGTCAACAGCAAATAAACAGAAGAATCAAGATTCATACTTAGACAATTGAACTTCAGACCCTTAACTTTTAAACACAATAACATTAATAGTAATACTATGCTTAAGGCATTTGAGAAAATACAGACATGTGATTTCATAAAGACAATGTCTGTCTTGTCTATAACTATATTCCCAGCCCCTAGCATAGGAACTTGCAGAGTAAATGCTAAATACTTATTTGTTGAGTGAATAAAAGTCAAAGTAATTAAATTAATGAATAAATGTTGATATACTTCCTAACCTCAAACGGCTTACTATCTTGTAAGAAAAATAAGATCTAAACAGAAATACCTTTAAGTATGTCTTAGCATAACAAATATAAAATATTAGGGTATACTGAATGAAGGACAGATGTCATAGAACTAATGTGGCTAATTGGATTAGTGGAAATAGTATAGGTTTTGAATTTGAGCAATTTTTTAGTTGAGCCCCACTTCTGCTCTTAGCTACATAATTCTTAACAGATACACATTTACTCAACAGTTAATTCATATCAAATACACAATGCCTGGTACAGGTTAATACTTGGTCCTTATTTTAAAGGAACTTAAAATTTAGTAAGGGCAAAGAAATACATAAATGAATCACAACAGTCTTTCTAGCTTCAGTTTAATGGTTTGTCCAAATGAGAAAATAGCTATCTATTAAGAATCGATGCAATAATATGTCAAGAATCCAGCAAAATGCCTTGTATATAATAATTATTTAGTAATCAGTAATTCTTTCCCTGTTGAACCATCTGTTATCAAATCAAGAATTCCCAAAACAGTAAAAAACTGAATTTGGATAACAAAAAAATAATGAAAACTACAAATTCAAGTTACTGTATTAAGTACGGATAAGAATGCCACTATTTTATAACCCTTACCTATGTGTAAATTAACTCATCCTAGTAGACTTTTATATTTTCTTCTAAAGCCTCCAAATATATAAACATCTGTTTTAAATTAACAGTACTCAGTATTTTTACTTTTTTAAATGTACCTGCTGATACAAACAGGTGCAAATATGTACATTAGCAATCTAATTTTTTAAGGTAAAGCCAATTAAGTGAACTATTTACTATAAAGAACTGTAAACAAAAAAGGTTTTTCCTGCTAAGTCTATTTCCATAACTAAATCTGGCTCTAATTTACAATTTTACATATTATGTGAGGCCCAGAACATTGAAGAATGGCATGGGGTAAGAAAACAGTACATAAACGCAAAAAGAATCACTTCTTGCTTGGAAAAGAGATCAACAGCAGTCACAACAACTATGCCCACCATTTTTTTTTTCCAACTTTAACATTTTATTTTGGAAAGTGATTTTTTCAAAATGCTTTACTTTGCCTGGGCATCTCTCATATTTATTGATCATATGGTTGTTGACAACAATAAAATTCTGTAAAGGGGACTCAATGCACAATCATTAATCAACCCCAAGCCTAATTCTCAACAGTCTCCAATCTTCTGAAGCATAAGGAACAAGTTTTTACATGGTGGACAAGTTCTTACATAGTGAATAAGTTCTTACATGGTGAACAGTGCAAGGGCAGTCATATCACGGAAACTTTCGGTTTTGATCATGCATCATGAACTATAAACAATCAGGTCAATTATGATTATTTGATTTTTATACTTGATTTATATGTGAATCCCACATTTCTCCCTTATTATTATTGTTATTATTATTATTATTTTTTTTAATAAAATGCTGAAGTGGTAGGTAGATCTATGCCCACCATTTTTAAACATTCCAAGAGTCACAGGTCATCCTGGCTTATCTTCCTAAGATGGGGAGGGATTCTGGGAAGATGTCAAAAGAATGTGTTTGTAAAGAAATACCTGATGAAAGGTTGGGTTAGAATAAAAAGCCTCTAAGAAACATGACATGATTAAGTAAAATGTAAGCAGAAGGCAATGAATCATCCTGGGTTGTGTGTGCTTATAAAGGTTATATTCAAAGTTACTCCAGCAGCTGCACTTTCCAGTTTCTCAGATAATAGGAAACCCTTCACAGCAAACCACAAGCAGCTATTTTTGGATTCTTAGGATCTTAGAAAACTTTTTAATGCTTTATTTCATCAACCACATGTGAAATACATAAATCTCACCCTGTTTTTCTATTTGACATGTATTCAAATACTTTCTGAACATAAACTATATTCCTAGGTCTCCTAGCACTACATATACAAAGTTGAGTAAGACACTCTCTTTAGCCTTACAGACTTATGATTTAAGACAGGAGAAAAACACACTGAGGAATAGCTGGCTACAAAATGAGAATGAAAAAATGAAAGCATAAACAAAATGTGGGAATCACAGAAGCAGAAGTAACTAACATTGCCTAGGGGAATCAGAAGTGATTTCACAAGGAGGTGCTATGTAAAGAGAGTTTTAAAGGATGAATGGAAATCTACCAGGTCAAAAAAGACAGAAAAGGTATCAGAGGCAAAGGGAATAATAGAAGCAAAGATATGAAAGCATAAAATAAATGTTTGAGGAACAAGGAAAAATGGCTTCAATGTGACTGAAGCACAGGTACTGGGGCCTGGTGGTGAGGGCAGGAAATGAGGCTTCAGAAGTCAGTGGAGCTTTACTAAGAAGAGCCTCATGTGCTTTGCTACCTAATCTAAAAACTTTGGGAAACAATCTGACATATTTAAAAGATGAGTGATATGATCAGCTTTGTAATAAGGAAAAGTAAAATTCCTATGAAGTATAGTGTTACAGAGCCTAACATAAAACAGGCAGTTAATTAGTGGTACTGTTATTAATACTAGAAAATATACATATCATTACAAAAAGAATAAAATCACCTTATATCTTTGATAGTTGCTCTTTTCAAGGGGTCAACCTGCAACATATGCATCAGGAGAGTGGCAATGGAGCGATTGAGATATTCTGGGATATAAAAAACACCCCCTCGGATTTTCTTAAATAATGTAGGTACATGCTCGTCATCAAATGGAAGGGTGCCACAAAGAAGAGCATACAAAATAACACCACAGCTCCAGATATCAACTTCAGGACCCGCATATAATCTGCAAAAAAAGATGACAACATAAACCTGAAATGCAAGTGTCACTTCTTCTCAGATAGCATACCCTGCGCTTCTATGTATACACAGTACCGACTTGATATATATTGATTTCCAAGGTCTTTAATGAAATCCACGGCCACTCCCCAACACTCAATTGTTGTTCCCCATAGAGAATAATTAACCTAAGCAATTACTATTCAAGTTTTCCAAGAAAAAATGGTACTTTTATTTATCACAAACGCACATAACTGAACATACTAATTGACTAATTAAAAAATATAAAACTTTCTTTGGTTGATTTTAGATGTAAACATCAAAGTAGAAGACCATAAACTTGAAAAAACAATACTACAGTGTATATGCTTTTTACAAATCTTTTTACTGTGAAATACCATAATAAAGAAAATGCATATATAATAGAATTTTTATGCCTGACACACCTATTTTAAAGAGTTTCTGAAACATTAAAGTGCCCACCTAGTCCTATAGCAATCACTTTGACAGTATTTCTCCTGTATCATATTATCGTGAGTACTACTTTCATTCAAATCATTTATTAGTTCAAGGACTCAGATTATCTTTGCTCCAAATAACCTATGCCTAGAATATGATTCCTTTTTTCTCTCACTTTTCTATCTTTCTATCTACTAAAATTCCCCTAACAGCATATTAACAAACTCAAACCCATGTCTGAGATAACAAAATAAATATCTCTAATTCCAATTAAAAGAATATTCTACATCCTTCAATAAAAATTGCTGCACATTATATCATTTGCTGTATTGTTCAAACTTCTACATCTGCTTCTGCAATAATACCACTTCCAATAATACCTTACCATTCTGTAAAGATTTTTAAATCAGACATGGGTCACTGTAGAAAGACTCGAGTTTACTACTGCAATCTGATAAACATTTAAAAACGTACCAACAAATAAGTTATAAAGGTAATTATACAATCTCCACGTGTATAGTTTTATTTCAACAATAATGTTATCCCTCAAAAACCTCATTCTTCCTCAAGAATTCTTTATAAAAGAATATGTAAAGTAGTATTAAAGGACCATGTTTAGCAGATACTTACTCTCTTATGTACACTGTTCTAAAATGAAAAAATCAAGGTTTCATTTTCTTAATGGAAAAACTCAAAATACATTCATTACAAAACCTAAATCAAATGTTTCTAAAATTTTTAATATAATTATTCTTCAAAATGGAAAAATTAAAGGTATAATTTGTTGCTACTGTGCTAAAAATCTGATCTTCTAAAGAGAATTATAATTAAATGTCATTAAAATGAAGAAAATATTATAAAAAGCTTACTCTTCAGTGGTATATTATTACCTGCCTGAGATGACTTCAGGTGCTGCATAATTGGGAGATCCACAACTAGTTCTCAGAAATTCACCATCTGACATCATATTAGATAATCCTGTGAATTAGAGTAATGTTTACCTGGTGCTAGATATTTTTAAAAGTAAATACAGATAATGCATGAGGAAAAAGATCAAGTCTTTAATACTCCCTATATATTTTTCAATTACTAAAAAAAGCAATAGAAAGCACTTGTTAGACTATAAAGAAACCACTGCAGTGTTTACACTGACAAAAAAATCAAAAGCACATCACACATATGATTGGAATTAAATTAAATAATTTTCTAAATAAAAATGTTGATCTACTTCACAAATATGAGGCTATTCTAAATTATATGAACTTTCTGAACATAGAAGTATCAAAACATTATTTACCCATTTTTACAGCTGAAATAAAATAGAGACAATTACTTTTTTATACTATGCTTTCAAAACCTTCTTAAAAAAATCTCTAACAGAAATCAGACTGGCTCCAATCTATACAGATCATGCTTCAAAAGTTTTTAATTTGGAAAGCTTTAATTCAAGACAGAAAAAAGAATCTATCAAATCAAAAACTTAGTGAAACTATATCACTATGTGAGTTTTGTGGTTTAAAGAGAAGGAAGAGAAATAGGTGAACTAGTGTCCTGGTTTTTAAAAATAAGGATAGAGAAAAATTTTAAATAAGCAGTGCTGAACTTTGGCACCTTTCTATCTTTATTTCTATAATCTCTCACTTCCTAATTGTTTTCCTAAATAGAACACTATGGCACCCTTTCCAGGTATGTTTACTCCAAGAATTGTTTGGTGCATAAAGAGTACATCTTAAATTTTCTCTTACACCTGACAAAAACTCCTATTCTTTTATCAAGTTGTTAGATGTTACCCTGAGACCCACTAACACCTGCCTCAATCAATCCAGAAAGACTATAAACCTCCTAACCTGCATACAAATTTTCATGTGTCTCAGGTTAAGTACATTCATCAGGAAAGTGCCATTTCCATTAGATTTTCAAGAATTTGTTGCCTCCACAAAAAAAAAAAAAGGGTAAGTATCATTTCTTTGGAGAAAAGGTAGACTGAATGGATTTACCTTGACACCAGTCCTCTAACCTCTCTAGAAGATTCTGCATTTTTTCCAAAGTGTTTAAATGAATAGAATAAGCTGTGAGGAGACTGTGCAACTAATCCCTTTCCATTATTAAGGCTTTACAATGTTGAAATTGGGGGTTCTTAGTTCTTTAAGAGCTGTTACTGGTGTACTCTGCAAGGCAGCTAGTATATGTGCAGCTACATTTCTGAGCAACCCTTGAGTGACTTACCAAAATCTGCTATCTTGGCATTCATGTGTGCATCCAACAGCACATTCTCTGGTTTCAGGTCTCGGTGAACAACCATATGCCTATGACAGTAATCCACAGCAGACAGAATCTGCTGAAAGAGCCGTCTGGCTTCCATCTCTTCAACCTATCAAATATAAAAGAAGCTGTGCTAAGAATATTTGGGACGTCTGTATAGCAAGGGTTTCTATTTCATAATCAGCCAAAATGTAATGGAGTAAGCTCATTAGAATTATGTTAGAATTCTCAACAAATCATGTTAGAATTCTCAAGAAATCAAGTAACAAACCAAAAACTTTCATTAAAGCTCAACATACCAATCAACAGGCTTTTCTTTGCTGTTAGGCAGTAATATTCAATTTGTAATTAATATTATTAAATGTGCACAGTGTTCTGGGGAATCAACAAAAGGTAATCTAAAACAAAACTTATGTGAAAGTCCTAAGAAAAGGAAGTAATTAGAGCTTCAACATGATATTATGGAAGCGATTTTTCATTTTGAAAAGCATAGGCATCATGCTGGCTGGCAATTAAGTGGAACATATTTCCTAAAATCACTATTTCAAAAGGTATAATCTTTAAGAACAAAAATTGGTCTAATTTGTTTATGCTTAGTTGGGCATCACTGCAGAAGCAACCCTAATTTGAAGATATCTTTATGGTTTACTATTTCCTGCTACTTTCCTCTTTTTTTAGCTTAGGGGTTTATTATATTAGATAGTAGGTTACTCACCCGTCCGTGTTTACAGATGTAGTCAAATAATTCACCACCGGATACATATTCCATTACCATAAAAAAATCTGTTGGAGTGCTGATCACCTGGTATCTTTTTTATAAATGAAAAGAAGTTAATAAAAATGTTACTTTAATAAAAAAATCAACCTACTATATCAATTCTTGCTCTAATTTTCTATTCCAGTATTTTACAATAGTTTTAAGGCAGCAAATTATATATTACCAAAACAATCACAGATCTATAACAGAGCTTTACAAAATTCAACTACTTTCTGAGGCTTATGGACCTTCCTTCAGATCCTTCTATGTTTACAAAATCTTTGAAATCCTTCATTCTTCAACAACTATGTTAAGCATTAGTTTTTCCATTTAAACAGAAATTTGTTTATATTCTATGGAGATGAGGTATCATATATTTACACATAAATTTTAAAAATTCTTGTAATGATTAAATAATACTATAGGAATACAACCAACAAAATTCAGAAAGTGGACAAATGACCCTTTCTTCAACAAAGTGCAAAGAAAAAAAAAGGAGAAGGGGAAGCTACACATTAAACGTAATCAAGAGACAAATTGACCAATTATGTTGTATAGATCTAATTTTGATTCAAACAAACCAACTTTAAAAGCCATATGAAACAATGAAGGAAGTCTGAATACTGGCTGGCTGGTTGATAATATTGTTAATTGTCTTTATTTTTTAGATCTGATAATGAGTTGTGCTTGTGTTATTAAAATAAAAAGTCTTTACCCTCCAGAGTGGATACTGAACAGTTTAAAGATTATATTTAGCATAACACAATCTTTAGCATTTGCATCAAAATAATTTGGGGTGGGAGAAGTGGGAGGAAGTAGATAAAACAATAAATACACTGACAATTGTTGAAGCTGAATGACAGGCACATGTGGCTTCATTACTTTAGAGCATATGTTTAAAAAAAACTTCCATAATAAAAAATTAAATAAATATGTATGTATGTATGTATGTGTGTATTTCTAGGTACCCAAAGCTGAGCACATTAAAAAAATATAAAGTCTTACTGCTATTTGACAAAATAAAAATTTTCCTAATAAACAACTTCTCCCCAAATACAGACCATAATTTTACCAATGTTTTGAAAACAAGCTAAATATATCGTTTTAACTGAAGGTTGTATTTAACACATATAAATGAACAATTGTTCTACTTGTTGAAATAGATTTGCTTTGTTTGTAAAGGATTATCTGTAATTTGGGTCATCAAGAGCAGTATCTAATTTATCATATATTTACACATAAATTTTAAAAATTCTTGTAATGATTAAATAATACTATAGGAATACAACCAACAAAATTCAGAAAGTGGACAAATGACCCTTTCTTCAACAAAGTGCAAAGAAAAAAAAAGGAGAAGGGGAAGCTACACATTAAACGTAATCAAGAGACAAACTGACCAATTATGTTGTATAGATCTAATTTTGATTCAAACAAACCAACTTTAAAAGCCATATGAAACAATGAAGGAAGTCTGAATACTGGCTGGCTGGTTGATAATATTGTTAATTGTCTTTATTTTTTAGATCTGATAATGAGTTGTGCTTGTGTTATTAAAATAAAAAGTCTTTACCCTCCAGAGTGGATACTGAACAGTTTAAAGATTATATTTAGCATAACACAATCTTTAGCATTTGCATCAAAATAATTTGGGGTGGGAGAAGTGGGAGGAAGTAGATAAAACAATAAATACACTGACAATTGTTGAAGCTGAATGACAGGCACATGTGGCTTCATTACTTTAGAGCATATGTTTAAAAAAAACTTCCATAATAAAAAATTAAATAAATATGTATGTATGTATGTATGTGTGTATTTCTAGGTACCCAAAGCTGAGCACATTAAAAAAATATAAAGTCTTACTGCTATTTGACAAAATAAAAATTTTCCTAATAAACAACTTCTCCCCAAATACAGACCATAATTTTACCAATGTTTTGAAAACAAGCTAAATATATCGTTTTAACTGAAGGTTGTATTTAACACATATAAATGAACAATTGTTCTACTTGTTGAAATAGATTTGCTTTGTTTGTAAAGGATTATCTGTAATTTGGGTCATCAAGAGCAGTATCTAATTTATACTGAATTACTCTTTAGGGCTGCTTAAGTATAGCTGTGTAGGGTTTGCATGGCTTAAGTCCACCCAGTGGGAAGTACAGGTAGGAGCTTAAAAGTGGTCCAGACGCCATCCTTTAAGCAGAATACCTGGACTCAGAAGCAGGTAATTTAGATAATTAGTCCACAAGGATGGGTACCTTTTATTAAAGTGCACAAAAGCAAGCATGCGCTAGATGATGGTTCTGGTTACTATTCCCCGTTGGGAAGGAGAGGGGAAATGGCAAGGTAGTTGGTGATATAATTACATACTATACAGATTTTCAGAAAGGACATGTAAAAATTAAAGGACTTATCAAGTATAAATTAAACACTTGGAAAAAGTAAAATATTAAAGCTATAGTATCGAAAATGGTTATAGATTTGTAGAAGAAATACTTCTAATAGCAATTTTTAGTCTTTGGGATGAAAAATGACAAGGTACCTCATTTTATATAAAATAATCTGAGGACTAAGGTTAAGACTACTTCAAATGAACTGTGAAAAGGGAATTTTACCTCAACACTCAAGAAGAAATGGCTCTATAAAAACAATCCTAACAGGCACTAAACTCTAACTGAATAAAATGAATAGTGTAGAGCAGGAGTACCTACTCACCTCACTGTAGGCTAATTTGATTCAGTAACAGAATTCTCAATCACTTTTCTGCTCTGTACATCTTTGGGGCATAAGAGAAAAGGAGTGATGAAACTCAATAAATTTAGTGCTGATTTCTCCAAGGATATCACAAGTCTTCATTAGATACTGTCAGACTGAACTATTCCATGAAACCTCTCACTTCACAGCAGCCACTGTCCACATGACGTAAGGGCCAATCAAGAGCAATGAAACCCACAGCTAACATTACTAAGCACTTACTGCGCCAAACACTGAGCTATGAAATGATGACAATAAATATTAAATTGAAAACCTACCTACTTACATTGCACTTGGTGAGATCAATAGCTCCTCCCTACACTTGCAGAGCCTACTGTCTGTCCAGGAAGACATACATTAAACAAATACTCTTTTCAAATATAAGTAAGTTCTTTACTATTCTCATAATTAAAATCTTCAGGGCTTTCCCAATGTTCTTAGGTCCTGAATAATCAGGCCGCTGCCTATCTCTGCAGTTTTGTCTTACCTTTGAGTCCCATCAATATAATAGTTTTATTTATATTAGTCATGCTGTACTGCCTCCTGCCACAGCTCCTTTATGTAAGCTGCCTCTGCTAACCTGAATCCCATACCATGACCTGTTCTCCACCCTTTAGCTGGTTACTATTCATCCTTTAGATCTCAGGTTAAAGGTCACCCCTCTAAGTCCAAGTCAGGTCCTTTTTGCTCTCACAGAAGCATTCCCTTAGCATCAAAGCATGTACCTCGGTTTGTAATAATACATTTATTATTATTATTATTTGATTAATGAGTATAAACCTAGCAAAGTATCTATAACAAAGTAGGTATTTAAGTAAAACATGTATTAGCACTTTTAAATAAGTTGAGCAGCTTGGACCAAAACTGGAATAATCTGAGACTGAAAAATTACAGCAAAATTACAACAAAACTTCAACTAATAAAATTTCAATTAGCCAGAATGAGGTGGGGAACAAAGGGAAACATGATTTTTAGAAGAAAGAAACACCATTATTTGTCACATTATACTATAAATACTACTTCGAATTTCATTGACTTAATTGTGACAAATTGACTTTAAATTGTGAAATTGTTTTAGTTTCATAACTGTGTTGAAGTTATGAGCATATAGAGTTTATACCTAGTTCTTTGTTTCTATATACTTAAGTAACAGCATTTTAAAAATAAAAACCAGGGATCCATGAACTTATTTTTCCTTTGAAAGGTATTTATAGAAATATCACTTTTGAGAAAGGCTGGAATGCTGGAGTAGAGAGTTGGAGGCAGATATGAACTCAATTACCAGATATTTAACCCTGGACAAGTTGCTGATACTATCTCTTTAGATAATGCAATTTCCTTATCTATAAGCTGAGGATAATAATACCTACCTTATATAGGCTTAACATGAAGAGGAAGTGAGATTACATATGTAAAATGCTCAATACAGTTTCTAGCCATTATCAGGTACTCAATAAGTAAAATTAACATTTATTTTTTAAAATGCTATCCAAGCTTTAGGATAAAAATAAAGACAATTTTCACTGTTCAGCATATTAAATTTCCTCAATAAATATTAAACTGTAATGTAAAGTTATTTAAAGGAATACTGTTGCATGTTTAATGTCTAAATTTTCTATGGGTCTAATCAACTTCAATTATTTATCTTTCAATTAATTCACTTATTTATTAATCTATTTACTTATTTTATGTTTGTAACTTGTCTTATCAAAAGTAAATTCATTTGCCTTCCTAAGAACTTTACTATCAGTAATTATAGCAATAATTGCAGTTTTGCAAGTAATATAGTGGACGATCTTTCCACCTTTTCCAGAAAGAAAATACTCCGTATGTTAATGAAAAGTGACTAGAAAAAAATTACAAAGTGAATCTAGGAATGTCAAAGTCCTAAATGACCTTCAAAGTGAACACTAAAGATAAAAGTCAACTTCCAAGGCTACATTCATCACCTGAAAACAGTACTAATTTTGGAACAATGACTTAATTATAAACCAAAAGTATACAAAAAAAAAATTGATGGAGGTTAAATGAATTAACACAGAACATAAATATGAAAAAAGAATTATAGTTTTATAAAAGGTTAACTGAAGATAAACAATTTGTAAATTCATAAAAAACATTTCAAGACAGTTTCTCTTTTGTATTATTAGGTACAAAAATACTTACAGTTTGATAATATGAGGATGACGAAAGAGTTTCAGATTTTGAATTTCTCGTTTTATTTTTCCAACAACATCTAAACTGCGAATCTTCTGTCTATTTAAGATTTTAACGGCCACTTTATGGCCTGTTAATTGATGTTCTCCAACTAAAAAAAAGAAAAAGAAAAAAAACTTGCTGTCATAGCAACATAATCATGTCTTCATGCTTCCTTCCACTGTAACACCAAATTTCTTTACTATTTTTATATCATTTATTGCATACCAGTGAAGTTAATCTCTTTACTTCTATCTCTTCCACTAGAGTATGTACTCTTTGAGGACAGAAATTGTATCTTAGTCTTCTCTGTATCCTACCTACTTAGCACAGATGTACATTAAATATTTTAGAAAGGATTATTCAATTCCATATTCCTACTTCAAAACATAATCCAATTTGGAACATGTTTTGGATAGAATAGAATCATTACGTTTTATTGATCTCTTTACTCTTCTGGTTAATGCTAGTCATTGTATTACAAAAGAATATATGATTGCTATAATAAATTAAAACTCATAGTTTCATTACTATTTCATCAGAAACTCTACATGTAGTCCCCCACCTTTACTTTTTGGCCTTTTCTATAAAACCTTTCTGTTTTCCCTCATTTGATGGAATCTCTACTTCTTTCAAACCCTAGTATGTTTATAAAGCTCATGTGTCATTTATTACTTTTAAGCTATCATAAACATTTTGCTTTGGACAAATCATATGATATGAGCTATTAGCTCATAACCTCCTTAAGTAAGACAGTCAGTACTCATCTGAGTCTCCCAGAAAGTATGTAGCACAGTGTTTTTTACATACTAGATGTTAAATAGATGTATCTCACACTAAACGAAGCAGCTGTCTTTCCCCTTTCAGGTAACACATTCACCATATCCACACTACTAGTTATATCCTCCAATAACTAATTAGATGAAAACACCTACAATTGGAGGATGAATTTATCAGCCCCCTCTCCTGTTTCCCTCAATTACTATTCTAAACTTTCACCATTCCCTGCAAAATACCTGCTCAATCCTTGACCCTTTTGAGCAAACTTCCCTTTCATTTCTTTGGGGAAAGTGAAGTTATCAGGAGTGATTTCCTCTATCTTAAAGGCTTACTTAGATCCACATTCCTCTTTCCTGCAGTCTCGGAGTTGTTTTGGCCTTGCTGTCCAAAACCAGTCTCATCAACTTGTGCCCCAAAACCCATCTTTTCTACACTCTCCTTATATTGGACCTTGTTCTTTTCTAATAACTTCTTCTCCTCAGCCTATCAATATTCCATTTCTCCAAGTCTTCCACTTATCCTGTATCTTCCTCTAGTTTCCAACATTTATCTCATCAAAATTTCTCAAAACAGGACTCCACATTTATTTTCTTCTCTTCCTCCCTTTTCACCATCCCTAAATTCACTGCTCCCTGGCTTCTGCCTCCACTCCTCCACTGCAAAGGGTCACAAAAGACACATTAAGTATCAAGTCATGTATAATTGTCAATTCTCAGATTACTATAATCTCTGTTGCATTAGACAACATTGATTAGTCTCATTTTGGTGGCACTTCTCTCTCCTGGTTCTCCTCTCAGATGGTCTCCTTTATGGCCTCCATCTGTTCTTTAATGTTTAGCGTCCCCAGGTTTCCAATCTAGGCCCAAAGTAGATCCTTAAATTATCTCATTCACCTGTCACAGTTTTTAATTAACACCCATATGGCAATAACTTGGCTCCCTTCTTCAAATTCATGTATTTCAATATTAGTATCTCACAAATACCTCAAATTCAACATGTTCAGGATGAAATTCAGCATTCTTCTCCTCTTCCTCCACCAAACTTATGTCCTCTATTTCACTTGGTGGCACACAGCCTATATGCTAGAATCCAAGGAGTAAGGTGACATTATCTCCTAAATATTTATTGGAGTCAAGTTTCAAATCACTGTGACAAATACGTTAAATAAAAATGACAGATGTGACAATCACATTTATTATTATGTACTAAGCATTATTCTAAGTGCTAACTACCCTGCTCACTAAACACCACAACTCTGTAAGTATTATTATCCTCCACTGTACAGATGAGAAACCTGACGCACAGAGAAGTCAAATAACCCATACAAGGTGAAATAGTAATTGGTGGCTCAATGTGTGATCTCAAGCTGTCTCACTTCAGTTCAGAGACAGCATGTTTAGCCACAACATAATAATGCACCCCTCCCTCCCCAACCACACCCCGCTGCCGAGCACAACAATCCAAACATGAAATGAGCTGACCTAGGAAGAACTGAGCTTCTTATCACTGGAGATTGTTATTATCTTTATAATTTTCCCAAGCAATAAATTGCATCTCAAAAACTTTAATGGTTTAAAGTTACTTTCCCTGGATATAAAACAAATAAATCAGAAGAAATCAAATCAAATTCAAGTCATCTAACTTACTAACATTCCAAAATTATGCTTCCAGGACTCCAGAAAAACATTACCATTTTCAGGGACTTTCTGCTCAATTAAAGTGGCCTAAGTATATATCGTGATGCCTAGGCAATTTATTATTCACCTTTGGGAATTTCACAAAACACAAACACTTGCCTGAGCAGCTTAACATGTCTCTCCTCAATCCTAATAGCCTCAATGAAAGAAGCCAGCGCTGCAATCCCCTTATCAATACAAAAGGGAAGAAGAATTCAAGTCCTCCTTTGCCCTGTTTGATAATGAAAATTACTATCTACTGAGAACATATGTGGTCTTTCCAGATCACAGAAGAAGACCAAAGACTAACAGCCAAATAAATGGGTGTTTGTTTTTTATTGCCATATGCTTGAACTGGAAAACAAGTAAACCAAAAAGTGAGTTAATTCATTCAGAAAATGATTTAACAATGAAGTATTACTTTGTCAAAAAATTCAATAGTGTTGCAGGATACAAAATCAATGTACAAAATCATTTGCATTTCTATAGACTAACAATAAACTATCAGAGAAATGAAGAAAACAATCCCACTTAAAATTCCAACAAGAACAAAAGACTTAGGAATAAATGTAACCAAAGAGGTAAAAGATATCTATACACTGAAAACTGTAAGACATTGATGGAAAAAATGGAAGACATAGGTAAGTGGAAAGATATTCCATGCCCATGGATTGGAAGAATTAATATTGTTATAATGTCCATACTACCCAAAGTAACCTTCAGATTCAAAGCAATCCTTATCAAAACTCCAATATTTTTCATAGAAATAGAAAAAGGTAATGTTATATGGAACCACAAAAGACCCCAAACATCTAAAGCAATCTTGATAAAGAGAATCAAAGTACAAGGAATCACTTCCTGATTTAAAACGATATTACAAAGCTACAGTAATCAAAACAGTATATTGCCATAAAAAACAGACATATCAATCAATGAAACTGAATACAGAGCCCAGAATTAAATCCCTGCATATATGGCCAATTTACAACAAAGGAGTCAAGAATATACAGTGGGGGAAAGGACAGTCTCTTCAATAAATGATGCTGGAAAAACTGGACAGCCATATACAAAAGAATGAAACTAGACCCTAATATTATACATTACAAAGAAAATCAACTCAAAATGGATTAAAGACTTAAATTTAACATCCAAAAAACTTAAACTTTAAGTTTCCAAATTAAACTTCTAGACACAAAGATAGGGAATAAACTCCCTGACATCTGCCTTGGCAATGATTTTTTTGGATTCAACAACGAAAAGCAAAAACAAACAACTGGGACTACATCAAACTAAAGAGGTTCTGCACAACAAAGGATCCATCAGCAAATGAAAAGGTAATCTATGGAATGGGAGAAAATACTTGTAAACGACATATCTGATAAAGGGTTAATATCCAAAAATATAAAGAATTCACACATGCATGGATTGCCTTGGGTGATGTTACTCATTACTGCAAATCAAAAATAAAAATAAACAAATGAATGATAAAACAAAAATTTTAGAACTGAACTCACATAACAACAGTGAAAAAGCAATCTCGTTTTAAAAATGAGCAGAGGAACTGAATAAACACTTTTCCAAAGATGACATACAAATGCCCAAAAAGTACATGAAAAGGTGCTCAATATCACTAATCATCAGGGAAATAAATGCAACTCAATACCACAAAGAGATATTACCTCGCCCATTAGAATGGCTGTCAAGAAAAATGAAAGATAACAGGTATTGACAAGGATATGGAGAAAAGAGCACCCTCGTGCACTGCTGGTAGGAATATAACTTGGTACAGCCATTACAGAAAACAGTCTGGAAGTTCCTTAAAAACCTAAAAACAGAATACCATATGATCCAGCAATCCTCTTCTGAGTAGATATCCAAAGGAAATGACAACAGGATCTCAGAATATCTGTTCTTCCATGCTCATTGCAGCATTATTCACAATACCCAAGGTATGGAAATTACCTAACTGTGCATCAATAAATGAAGATATGAGATAAACACACACACACACACACAGTGGAATATTATTCAGCCACAAGAAGCAAGGAAATCCTGTTTGTGACAACATGGATGGACCTTGAAAATGTTACACTAAGTGAAATAAGCCAGGTAAACAAATAGTGCACAGTATCACTTGCGGAATCTAAAAAAAAGTCAAACTCATAGAAACAGAGTAGAAAAGTGGTTGCTGCGGTGGAGGAAATAAGGAGAGGTAAAAGGGTACAAATTTTCAGCTATAAGATGAATAAGACCTGAGGATATAATGTAAAATAAGGTGATTATAGTTGATAACACTATCATATAATTGAAATTTGCTGAGAACTTCAAAGTTCTTTTGTGTGTGTGTGTGTGTAAATATGTGAAGTGATTGATGTTAATTAACTAGCTGTAATTCTAGTAATTATTTCACAATGTATATCAAATCATCATAAGGTACACTTTATCTTACAGTTGTGTCAATTATACCTCAATAAAGCTGAAAAAAATAATCCTTTTTAAAATATACTTTGTGGTATCTGAGGAAATAACTGACTGATTTATATCTTTATACCTGAAGAACTTTTTCCCCATGGAACAGTGGAAAAGAAATGGCATTATCTCTTGAAACAGTTTAGCACCTGATAAGCTAATTGGACATCTGAAATAAAAACAAAAAAGTCAAATGCATTAAGAATACCTCCTCTTTCTGATGAACTATACTAGCCTTCATTGCTAAATAGCCTTTTAATTACATACTTAAAATTAAATTCAAATTGTTGTCTCATTCCACCTGAAAGTTCAATGAATAGTCCTGAAAAGTTTGACTGTAAACAGATTTAAGACCAAGAATTTCTTCTGTGTGTATTACAGCCATAAACTTTTCTAGGGAAGTAATTGAAAGAAAAGGCTTGGTTCATCAAGGTTTTATTCCCATTTATTTATTCAATCTAAAAACATTTACTGAAGAAGACAAGTAGTGACTCTACAACATTTTGCTATGCTGATGGACAGTGACTGTAATGAGGTTTGTGGGGGGGATGTGGTGTAGGGGAGAGCCTAGTAAACATAATATTCTTCATGTAATTGTAGATTAATGATAACAAAAAATAAAAAGAAAGAAAAGGGGGATTACTCCCTGATAGGATAAAACTAACTGTAAATCAACGATTAATGCATGCTTTACATATCCTTAATTTTGATCTTTTAAAGGGTGTCAGATGATCAGCTATGGAAGTACATTTTTCTGATATTTCTTTCTCTTAAAAAAAAAAAAGCAGTTCCTGTGTGGTGATCTCCAATAGGTTCTTCACAATGGTATAAAGGTCAAAGTGTGGGCAAAGGGTTTGTTTGTGTTTATACAGAGGATCAAAGCCTAATTTGGCTACCCAGAAAATGAATTAAGATACGGTATGAAAAAGAACTTCCAACATCAACATCCTCTAGAAGAGTCATTCCAGAAGATGATCATCAAAAAACTTCAACAAAGATCCTGGCACTGTTGCAGTTGTAGCTGCATTCATCCCACTGGTTCCTGGACTTGCCATTGGAATGAAGAAGGAGATATCTAAGCTGGCCTGTGCAGACAGTAAAACAAATTTGACTGGATCTATACTGGCAGAACTCAACCAAGAATTAGGAGAAGTGCAAGTTGCAGTGCTCCAAAATCGTGTGACTATAGACTATCTACTGTTAAAAGAACATATGGGATGTGAACAGTTCCCAGGAATGGGTTGTTTTAATTTGTCTGATTTCTCTCAAACTATTCAAATTC